TTAGCTCTTTGTCAGCAACTTAATCAGAAAGGTTTTCAAAGCTTTGATTTAATTGAATGTTGCTTTAGCAACCTGAAAACAATAGAAAATGTAAACCTTGGAGTGGAGTATAGTTCGGTGGAGTATAATTCGCGCTGTCGAACGGGACAAAAAGTACCCTATGTCCTTCTCCTGGCTCTAAGCTACCTCCCTACCAATTTTCACTCAAATCTGTTCTTCCGTTCTTTATTTATAAGTGGTGTAACATATAACACGACTTTCTTTTATATATATAGATTGCTATATACAGTATACATATACAGTATTCTTTTATATATATAGAATAGTTTTAATATTGATTTCTTACAAATATCAATAGAGAGTGCAGAGGCTCTGGTGGTGCTTCAAGTTGAGGCAATTTCACTTTCCCGGAAGCGCAACACAATCCTTTTGGTTCGTTGTTAAATTTGAGAGCCTGACTTTGAATTTGACTTCGTTTCTAACTGACATTTTGACATTTGACATTTTCATTTGACATTTTCTTCTTAGCTGTCTGCCTAAATAAAAGAGTATGGGCCAGGGAGGAACGCTGTCGAACGGGACAAAAAGTATCCTATGTCCTTCTCATGGCTCTAAGCTACCTCCCTACCAATTTTCACTCAAATCTGTTCTTCCGTTCTTGATTTATATGTGGTGTAACATAAAACACGACTTTCTTTTATATATATAGATAGAAATTACTTACAAATTCTTCAAGACTTGCAGTGTCTGCTTCATGAACATCATGCGTTGGTCAGGTTGTTTAAGAGTGTTTTAGAGCGCATGCCAAATGATGACTATAAAGTTGTCATCAAAGCAGATAAACGACCATCTGGAACACACGAACGCACATTTAATGCTCCAACAGTAGACGAAGTTGCCATCCTGATTGTTGGTGAACAATTTGAAAAACGCGATATTGTGCTTACACGTCGCGATACTGGGCAACTGCAACAAATATCGGAAACTCATCGATCATATGACGCATTGCAATACCCACTGATGTTTTGGCAAGGAGAAGATGGATATTATTTTAATATTAAAATGATAAATCCATTGAATGGTAAAGTAAACTGTATTATTTGCCTTTGAAATGGTTAATTATCAAATTTTTAATTTCAGGTGAAGAAACTACAAAGAAAGTTAGCTCAATGAATTATTATGCATATCGTTGGATGATTCGTCAAAATACTGACAACTATTTGCTGCGGTTTCGTCGATTGTTTCAGCAGTATTGCGTTGACATGTATGTAAAAATAGAAACGGATCGTTTAACATTTATTAGGTTGAACCAAGCCAAACTGCGTTCCGAGGAGTACATCCATTTACGTGATGCAGTTAGTACTGAAGGAAATGCAGCTAATATTGGTCGATTAACTATTCTGCCGGCGACGTACATTGGTACGACGTACGTCATTTGCATGAACATGCACAAGATGCAATGACATATGTTCGTCATTACGGCCGGCCAGATCTCTTTATTACTTTTACCTGTAATCCAAAATGGATAGAAATTACTCAATTGCTGCTTCCCGGACAAACATCAAATGATAGACACGACATCACAGCACGTATATTCAGGCTAAAAATTCGGTCCCTGATGAACTTTATTGTTAAACAACGCGTCTTTGGAGATACTCGATGCTGGATGTATTCAATCGAATGGCAAAAGCGAGGCCTGCCGCACGCACACATTCTTATTTGGTTAGTGGAAAGAATTCAGCCTGACCAAATAGATGATATCATATGTGCCGAGATTCCTGATCATGAAGTCGATCCAGACCTACATGATGTTGTTACTACTAATATGATTCATGGACCGTGTGGTGCCATCAACCCCCAATCACCTTGCATGGTCCATGGAAAGTGCTCTAGACTGTCACTGGCAACGATGGGTATCCGCTGAATGGATTTCGTCGTTGACAAGGTCGAACGTCATTGTTCCATATTCGCCACTTATTTCTACTTCTACTTATTTTTGCTACTTAAGACACATTGCAACGTTGAATACTGCAATTCAGTTAAGTCCATAAAGTATATTTGCAAATATGTCACGAAATTGCAATCCTCGAATACCAACGATGAAACTTCACGCTATCAAGTTGGTCGTTATGTGAACTGTAATGAAGCGATTTGGCGTATATTCGGATTTCCCATTCACGAACGTCATCCTACTGTTACACTTCGAATGCTATGGGCTTCGAATGCTATGCAAAGTGCTGAAACACCTCCAGCAACTACATTGACCAGTTTTTTTGCAATCTGCCAAAGCGATCAGTTTGCACGAACTTTGCTTTACTCGGAGATGCCACGTTATTATACTTGGAATACTTCATCCAAGAATTTTCAAAGACGGAAGCAAGGTGATGCGGTTTCTGGGTATCCAGATGTGCGTTCTACTGAAGCTCTTGGTCGTATGTATACAGTTCATCCAAAGAATGATGAATGTTTCTATTTGCGGTTGTTGCTGGTAAATGTGCGTGGGCCAACTTCATTTGAGACACTACGAACTGTTAATGGTGTAATATTCCCAACACATCGTGCTGCATGTGAAGAATTGAACTTATTAGAAAACGATACCCATTGGGATACGACAATCGCTGAAGCAATTATCTCTGCATCTCCAAGTCAGATACGCACATTATTCGCTATCATAATTTCGACATGTTTTCCATCAAACCCATGTAACCTGTGGCACAAATACAAGGATAGTATGTCAGAAGATATTTTACATCAAAGACGTGTCAGTTCCAGAAATCACGATATTGAGATGAATGAGGAGATACATAATCGTGCTTTACTCTTGATCGAAGATATGTGTTACCTCATGTGCGGTAATTTATTAATCAGGTTAGGAATGCCAGCGCCAAATCGTGAAATGAATGATACTTTAATGAAGGCAATCGCTGATGAAAATGGTGGTTTATATTTCCTAGATGCCCCTGGTGGAACTGGCAAGACATTCCTTATGTCATTAGTTTTAGCAACTGTTTAATAAAATATAAAATTAAAAAATTAATGAATAAAAATGAAAAAAACGAATTGAAAACTAAAAAAAAAAATAAGGTGATGAAGGGCAAGATGAACAAGATGAGGTCCCAAAGAAGATCCCGAAGATAAAAAATAAGAAAGTTATAAAATATATAAGAAAATAAATAAAAAGAAAATAAAATAAAAAAAGATATAAAAAAAATAAGATAAAAGTGAAACCGATTGGAAAAAACATTGTTCATTGTTTATAATTTAATTTAAAATAAGAAAATAAATAAATATCAGAGAAGTCGGGCAGCAAAAAGTTTTTGTTTTTTTTTTTTTATATAAAAATATTATTGGGAAAAAATTGTTAAAAATAGTTATATATGAAATATAGTTTAATTTAAAATAAGAAAATAAATAAATATCAGAGAAGTCGAGAAGTGTTTATAATAACACCACATTATTATTATATAAAATTAATTGTTGAAAGATTAATTTGGAATTAATTGATGACCCTCTTGAGTGCTTTCGCCACCCTGGAGTACAACGGCTATGGGCCAATTGAAGAGAGTGAACCGGTAATTGTTTTATTCAGTTAAATAAATGGTAAAAAAAAAATATATATAAAAAAAATGGACAAAATATATCCTCGGCAAGGATATAAAATTAACAAAGGATAAATAAGAGCAGGGGGTGTCTTAAACGTCGGAGATTGGAAAAGTCCAAAGTCTTTTATTATTTTTAATAAAATGTAAAATTAAAAAATCAACGAATTAATTGGGCGCGAAAGGCGATAACAATAACCGATAACAACGGAAAACCCACCTACCATGTCTAAAAGCAGGTTGGCATCGCTGGCGACACGCAGGCGTTAGTACCTTTCCGCATGTTTTGTTTTGTTTCTGACACTACACACAATAAATAAGAAAATTATTATTTTTAAGACAAAGTTGTGAAAAACTACTTTAGCCATGAGTAGTTTAAAGTCCGATTTGGATGAATATTTATTGCTGCAGAGTGATCAGAAGAGCTTCAATGTGAAGCTGCCACAGTTGAAGATCCCAAGTCTGGGACTATTTTCCAAAAACACGGAGCCGGAGGCCAATAGCTGGCTAAGGGACACCCAGGACTCCTGTTGTCCCAAACTGGTAGGATTACATTGAGTCCTAAACCCTAAATAATTTATTTATAATCAATTTTCGTTTATATTTCAGTCGCGACTGCAGAGAATTGTGGGTTTTGTGGCCTGTTTGGGAATGGGAGGACTCTGCATATCCCTATCGACTCTATACATTCCCGTTCTTATCTTGAAAGCCCGAAAGTTTGCCTTGCTCTACACCCTGGGCAGTCTCTTCTTTATACTAAGCTTTTGCTTTTTGTCCGGATTCGGAGCCTTTCTGCGACAGATGTTCTCAAAGCCGAGACTCCTGACTTCCATATCGTACAGTTCCTGCCTGTTGTTAACCCTGTATTGTGCCTTGGTGGCCAAAAGCACCGCATTCACAGTTCTGTTTGCTGTGGCGCAAATAATAGCATTACTGTTTATGGTACTGGGTATGGTTCCGGGTGGAGCTACGGGTCTCAAGTTCTTTGGGCAATTGTTCAAGACCAGCGTTTCGGCCTCGACAAGGGCGCTGCCAGTATAAGCCACGAAGAGCAATAAAACAAAACGAATCATCTCCAACCACCGCAGCAACGAATGATATAACTTATTTAACTCATTGATCCAAAATAAAACTTATTTGTGATATAACGCCTCTCAAAAGTAACCATATTGTTTTTTTTAATTAATTTCTCAACTTACTCATTGGGAAAATCAATGCTCGCTTATCAGGAATTGCAATTATAAATGCGAACTATGACGCAATTGTGTATATGGGGGGAGGGTTATATTAAAATTATTTATTTGTATCTTGATCATAAAACTAATCTTCGATTTCTCCATTTTGTCATTCCACTGGAGTCTCAAGCAGTGGGCCTATCCTTTGACTTGGCTTCCCCATAGGTCAGTCCTCAATCTCGCCCAGATACAAGGTTTTATCGCTGGATCCAGACAAAATTAAAGGTTCTTTCGGACTGAAATCCACATCGTTTACACTGCCATTATGTCCTGGCAGCTTGTATAGAATGCGCCTCGTGTTGACATCCCAAATGTAGACATGCCGATCGGCCGAACCGCAGGATATTTTGTCGCTTCCCGGTGACCAAGCGCAGCGAAGCAGATTCTTCTCAAAGTTGTGCTGATGGCCCTGGAATACCTTTACACACCGCTCGCCTGGAGCATAGGGCCTCACGTCCCACACTCTCAGCGTGTTGTCCATAGCATTGGTAAGGACGAAATCACCTTCCGGCGACAGCGCCATGCCGGTAACAGTATCTGCATGTCCTCTCAAAGTATGCAGAATCGCCTGCTTTCGAATATCCCAAATTTTCAGTTCATTATCGATGCCTCCGGTGATTACTTGTTCTCCGGTGTCACCAAAACAAACTGCAGTCACCTGGAAGGGAGACTCCAGGGTATGGACGGCGTGTTTCTTCCTCGCATCCCAGAACTTTATGGTCCGATCATCACTGCCTGGGCACAGCAGCTGTTGGCCTCGTCGCGATCCCTGAACACTGTTCACAAAGTTCCCGTGACCCTTAAAGCGTCGCTGCCGTTGACCCGTAACAATGTCCCAAATGGCTAGAGTTTTGTGCTTCAAGTTGAGGCAATTTCACTTTCCCGGAAGCGCAACAAAATCCTTTTGGTTCGTTGTTGAATTTGAGAGCCTGACTTTGAATTTGACTTCGTTTCAAACTGACATTTTGACATTTGACATTTTCATTTGAATTTCCCTTTCTTAGTCTGTCTGCCTCAATAAATAAGAATGGGCCAAAAGGAACGGCTGTCGAACGGGACAAAAAGTATCCTATGGCCTCTGCACTCTCTACTGATATTTGTAAGAAATCAATATTAAAACTATTTCTATTAAATCTATATATATAAAAAAATACTGTATATGTATACTGTATATAGCAATCTATCTATATATATAAAAGAAAGTCGTGTTTTATGTTACACCACATATAAATCAAGAACGGAAGAACAGATTTGAGTGAAAATTGGTAGGGAGGTAGCTTAGAGCCATGAGAAGGACATAGGATACTTTTTGTCCCGTTCGACAGCGTTCCTCCCTGGCCCATACTCTTTTATTTAGGCAGACAGCTAAGAAGAAAATGTCAAATGAAAATGTCAAATGTCAAAATGTCAGTTAGAAACGAAGTCAAATTCAAAGTCAGGCTCTCAAATTTAACAACGAACCAAAAGGATTGTGTTGCGCTTCCGGGAAAGTGAAATTGCCTCAACTTGAAGCACCACCAGAGCCTCTGCACTCTCTATTGATATTTGTAAGAAATCAATATTAAAACTATTCTATATATATAAAAGAATACTGTATATGTATACTGTATATAGCAATCTATATATATAAAAGAAAGTCGTGTTATATGTTACACCACTTATAAATCAAGAACGGAAGAACAGATTTGAGTGAAAATTGGTAGGGAGGTAGCTTAGAGCCAGGAGAAGGACATAGGATACTTTTTGTCCCGTTCGACAGCGCGAATTATACTCCACCGAACTATACTCCACTCCAAGGTTTACATTTTCTATTGTTTTCAGGTTGCTAAAGCAACATTCAATTAAATCAAAGCTTTGAAAACCTTTCTGATTAAGTTGCTGACAAAGAGCTAAAATGAAGATAAAAGCCAAACACGAAGCAGCTAAAACTAAGTAGAAATCGACAGGAGCAGAGGGCGTCGATTGATTATCATTAGACGCCAGAGTAGTTGCCATTTAGCACGCACAACGAGCAGCAGCAGCAGAGGCGGCAACAGCAATAACATCCACAACATCAGCAGCAGTTGCAACAATGTTTGAGTAATTGTTTGCCGTTGCAGCAGCAGCAGCAGAAGCATCAACAGCGAAAGCATAAACAATTTTTTTCACTATTAATTTAGGAACTGCTTTCTCAACGTTTCAAAGTGTACTGAGCAGGGACTGCAAATAAGACTTATGAGTTCAAAAAAAATTGAACAACAAAAAAGCCTTCGTGGGGAGTGGGAAAAGGACACATATACCATTTTTTAACGGTGAATCCAGAAACACAATAAACTTTTATTTCAATTTATATTGCTAAAATTTAAATATAACTCTTATTTTCAATTTTTATAATAATAATTAAGAGTAAGAATTATTTTTCAATTTTTATAAAAAAAATATAAATAAAAATTATGATTCAATTTTTATTAAAAAAATTGAAAATAAGTGTTACGATTCAATTTTTATTATAAAAATTGAAAATAAAAATTGAAGGCGAATAACTTCTGAACCGAGTGGACTAATAAAAAAACGCTTACATTTTTATGGTCTGTGGCGCAGTACCTTTCAAATGATGTATCGAATGTCCTTAAAGGACATAATCAAGGATTCCTTAATCTATATATATAAAAGAACAACGTGTTTTATGTTACAACACTTATAAATCAAGAACGGAAGAACAGATTTGAGTGAAAATTGGTAGGGAGGTAGCTTAGAGCCAGGAGAAGGACATAGGATACTTTTTGTCCCGTTCGACAGCGTTCCTCCCTGGCCCATACTTTTTATTTAGGCAGACAGCTAAGAAGAAAATGTCAAATGTCAAAATGTCAGTTACAAACGAAGTCAAATTCATAGTCAGGCTCTCAAATTTAACAACGAACCAAAAAGATTGTGTTGCGCTTCCGGGAAAGTGAAATTGCCTCAACTTGAAGCACCACTAGAGCCTCTGCACTCTCTATTGATATTTGTAAGAAATCAATATTAAAACTATTTCTATTAAATAAATAATTAACAAGTGGATTGAAGTGAAGTGAAGTTTAATTAATAATGCCGCGACCAAGACGATCGAATCTTTCCCGACAAAGCCGTAATGCAAGAAGAATACAAAATACTGCATATGAAAGGACTGAAGAAGAACGAGAAATTGCACGTGAACAGAGCCGCAATAGTAAGGCTCGACTTCGTGCTTCTCAAATAGATTTTAATTTGCGACGAAAAATTTTAGCTGATTTGAATCGAGCTGCGTTTCGATACGATTGCAGCAATGATTACAGCTTGCATCCTAGCGTTTGCATTGGGCAAATGGACGTTGTTTGCGAGTATTGTGGTGCATTAAAGTTTTCCGGAGAAACGCCTGGATTATGCTGCGTTAATGATAAAGTGAAGTTGCCAGTAATTCCAAGATCTGCGGCTGCCGACGAAATAAACGCTTGCCTCAAATCGTCAAATCTATGGCGCTATGTGAAGAAACTGCAGCTGATAACAAACATGAGAGTTACATTGCTTAATGATACATCTGCTGAAGATTTCTCGGAGCAATTTCTGACTATCGGTAATGGTCAAGTACCTGTCGATGAATCGAGCGGGTTAATATCATTTCCAAATAATTTTTGTAATTTTGTCTCATCAAAAGACGAACTTATCAACAATGTATTTCCAAATATTATTTCTAACTACAAAAATAATGAATGGTTGAGTGAGCGAGCAATTTTAGCGGCTAAGAATAAAGATGTAGATGACCTGAACTACATAATTCAAAATAAGATCATTGGAACAATGCATTCATTCAAATCTATTGACTGCGTCACAAATGAAGATGAAGCCACCAACTATCCAATTGAATTTTTAAACTCTTTGGACGTGCCTGGCTTACCACCGCACAATTTACGCCTAAAGGTTGGCTCCGTAGTAATCATGCTTCGAAACATAAACCAACCAAAACTGTGCAACGGTACGCGTTTGGTGGTTAGTAAATTGATGAACAATGTAATTTACGCTACGATAATGATAGGAAAATTCAAAGGTGAGGAAGTTCTAATTCCGAGGATCCCGATGATCCCAACCGATATGCCGTTTGAATTTAAAAGACTTCAATTTCCGATACGTCTTGCATTTGCCATGACAATCAACAAATCACAAGCCCAATCCTTAAAAGTTTGTGGTTTAAATCTAGAACATTCATGTTTTTCCCATGGTCAATTATACGTGGCATGTTCACGGGTCGGAAAACCATCTGCGTTGTTTGTTTTTGCGCCTGATAATAAAAAAAAATGTCGTGTATCACAAGGTGCTTGAGTGAAGAGCAACCTATATACTAAAATACAGAAATAATAATGAATGATTAAGGAGGAGAAACAAAGAATATTGTATACCCACAAGTATTACAGAATTTAATTAATTTGAAAATTATTCTTTTTTGTTTGACTTATTTTTTATGCGTGCAACAACAATATGCCACAGCGAAACGTGGCAGGGTACTGCTAGTAATTCCATAAATAAGAGTGTTCATTACAAAAGGAAGACTCGATTATGTGAATTATGTGAAGAAAATTTTTTTAATAATAGCATCTGCAATGACAATATTACTCTTTATTAAAAAAACAGGTCCTAAAAATGTTTTAATCATGGAATCCTCAATTATTCAATTTATTTAGTTATATTTCTACTCAGGGTTTGCATTTACTACTCCGTAGCAGCGAGATGCACAGAAATATTGCTCTGCTCTTGCTACAGCTGTCACTTTTTTCCAGAGTGGGTACAAGCACAGGTACCGATGTACAAGCAAAGATTGAAACATTAAAATTACCGTATATGAAATCCAGTACAAATGTTTTACATTTTTGGAAAGAGAGGAAATCATGCGATGCAGAGCTCTACGAACTAAGCAAAATATGTTTTGCTGTAGCGCCAACTCAAGTAAGAACTCTTACTTAATTCGAAACAAAATTTTAATTTCCAAACATTTATAGGTAACAATAGAGCGGGCATTTTCTTCATTAAAACTGGTGCTGTCGGACAACAGAAATCGTTTAGGCCACGACACATTAGAAAATATACTCCTTGTTCGCCTAAACTCAACACATTTAGATAATGCGATCGACAACTTGAGTTTATTTGAAGAAGACGATTAATTATTTACTAAATAAATTTTTAAATAGAATAATAAATACATGGCCGAATATCATTCTTACAAGGGTAAAGAAAATGGGTAAGGAAGAAAGGAGGTAAAGAAAGTGGTCACACAGTGACGGTGCTATAGCAATAGCTTTGAACTTTTCGTAGCTCGGAGCAGAGCAGAGCAGTCAATTTTCACTACGGGAGTAGCGTAGCTTTTCAAACACTGTTTCTACTAGAAATTTTCAAGTGTGGGCCAACCATGTAAAAGTACACACCGAGTTTCACCGAAAATTATTTCGATTATATTGAAATATTTGTTGTATTTAATTCGTTTCAAGCCAAAGCTTATAAAAATCGCTGAAATATAATTGTTCGCCTTGCAATTTTTGAGTGGCTATAAAAATAGGTTCTAGTGCCGCCAACAGCAAGTTAATTTCCTCCCAATTTGATTCCGTTAACTGCAATGTTTCACTTGAGTTTTCTTTTGAAAACTCCTTATATACACATACGTTTTTCAACATAGTGTACGTTGAGATCCACCTTGTTGGCACATCCAGTATAGGTTGGGGATGTATCCATAATTTTCAAAAAGTATTGTAATTTTTAAGTGCAATGTTATGCATTTAATTTGTTTACCTATAAGTCGGAGCTCGAAATGTTTTTATTATGGATCGTGCGCTATCGACAAGGAATCTCCGACTCCTCTCTTATAGCAGGTCATGAAAAGCTAATTGCATGGAATGGGCGGCACATCTAATCGAATGTATAGAGTGAACGCGAATATCTTTCATAAGGTCGTCATAGTCAAACTCGTCACAAAATTCAGAATTCAATTCTTTGTTCATGAAGTCGATCGCTTTAATGACATTCTTGCCATTGTCAGACAGACAGACGGACAGACGGACATGCTCATATCAACTCAGGAGGTGATCCTGATCAAGAATATATATACTTTATAGGGTCGGAGATGTCTCCTTCACTGCGTTGCACACTTTTGACCAAAATTATAATACCCTCTGCAAGGGTATAATGACTGGAAACGGCACCCAGACTTTTCAGTCTTTACTATTTATTAATAAAAATTCACTTGATCAACAATTTTTTTTTTCACTACTGAATATTAATTTAGACCGATCTAATCCCAAAGAAAGGAATATTTTTTGGGGGAATCTTTTTTTCTTACTCACCAGTCGTTGATTTTAATTTTTCAATATAAAACTTGTCACTGTAATTTAAACAATTTTTTTTCAAAAAATAATTTAGAGATTATACTTTAAATTTTGCGTCTGGCTTCTAGCCGGTTGAAAAATATACTGATGCTTTCTATACAAATTCCGCCTGATATAGGCAGGAATTCGACCTCACAGCCCACTACAAGACTAAATTTTTCCCCAAAAATCCAAAGATTGAATATTGACAGATTTAATAGAAAAATGCCAGCCTGTTGGTTTTTTGGAAAACCAGGTTCTGCTCTTTTAAGCTGCCAGAGTGCTCATGTCTGCGAAAACCATTTTTATTCCCTCTACTGCTCGTAGTGGAAACTCTTTGTGGCTTATTAAAATTTCTAGCCAGAGGGCCAACAAAACGATATCTTTTGGTAGCTGAGGCAGGCAATTCGTAACTTTAGTTATGTCTATGCCCTTGCGTTCGCCTGGGCCTTTGCCTCTCATCTTTGGAATGTGCCTTTGCCAGCAGCAGTTAAATCAATTAATTGGCCCTAGATTTCTAAGTTTTTCCTCGCCGACTCCCTTCCGGCGGCGGCATAGGTGCCGTGATTTATTATTGCAGGAATGCCGAAACAACGAAGTAAAATTCTTCGGCTTTGACTTTAGCACGCATTCGAGGATGAGTAGTCCAGGTGACAGTGGGGCTGCCTCGACATTCCGGGAGGTGTGGCATTTGCATACAAATAGATATGTCGGCTAAAATATGAACCACATGAGCCGGGTGCGATTCTTTACTTAGTTGTTGTCAGCCCGCGGCGGATTCGCGACTGTTGCGTGTCGCGAGGGGGAAAATTTCAAGTCTTTTCCTCGGATATTTTCTATTAAATTAGTTTTAGTGTCAAATGCTGACACCCAAAATGTCAAAATTTCAGCGACAGGGCTTAAAAAGATTGATATGTTTTCATTTAAAATTTGTTATTTGTTTATCAAGATACTATACTCCCACATGGCTTTATGGTATAAATTAATGACATGGAAATTATCAAAAGTATCCACCAAAGCCACCAAATTCTTGTTGCTGCTGTTGCTCTTGGCCAAAGCCATCTCTAAAGCCTCCGAAACCGGCCTGTTGCTGTTGCTGCTCTTGACCTCCAAAGCCTCCAAAGCCGTCTTGTTGCTGTTGTTGCTGTCCACCAAAGCTGGAAAAGCCTTCACCGTATTGCTCTTCTTGCTGCTGCTGTCCCCAGAATCCTCCATATCCAATAAAGCCAAGTTGGGGACGAGCCATGGTGATGGAAAGAAAGCAAACAAGCAATATCGTATCGTATGTTTTCAAAAAAAAAATAGTTACCAAATATTTCAATATTTGAAGAAAGCAAACAAGCAATATCGTATCGTATGTTTTAAAAAAAAAAATAGTTACCAAATATTTCATCTCGAAAAAAAGAGTAAGGGTATGCGTACTGTTCGAAGGCACATGAAACACTATTCCTCTCAGCGGAAAATCTTTCTTTTATAGGAGATTCAGTCAAGCACAGCTTGACATCTCGTCTTTCTTATTTCGACCGAGTCTTGCTCATATACTTAGTGGGAAGGGGATCACTCTCGATAATGCAAAGTTCTCGACACTCTTCCAAAATACGTATGATCCTCCTCACATTCGGATGGAAGTAAAATTTTCCTTGTTGAGAGCTTGTTATAACAGTCTTGTTATCAGTAGACTTGCGGCATGAATTCCTATGTATGTAATCATACTATTTTTATGATTGTCAACTTCTTTCAAAAAGCATCTTAATCATATAAAAAATTCTCTCTGTTTCAGAAAGAGACAACCTTTTATTCAAGCTTATGTATTCTCACTGGATTTGATTTTATTTCTTAGGTTTAAAGTTTAGGTTCTTAGGATTAAGTTTTTCTAATCTTTTCTTATTGTAAGTAAAGCAACTTACAAAAAGTCAATTGATTAAGCAATCTTTGTACAATTTTTTTTTAATTTTATAAATAATTGAATTTTTGTACAAAAACGATTTAGTTTGAAGTGGATTCCTCGGTTTAGATCTGATCTCATACAATGCTAATATTCAAGCTTTAGCCACAAAAGACTCAGAATGATGAATTGAATTTCTTTTCAAATCTTGTTGACAAATTTGGCTGTAGGCCATCCTGCCATCACTTGGACCAAGTCCTGATACATGAAGCCGCACATGTGAATGCTCATCGTTGCATCCTTGGTCCTCATCTACTTGCAATCTTTTCCACTCCTTTTTCACCCCGTGCCACCGGTCTGAGTTGTCAAGTCTTTCTGCCACCGCAAATGTGCAAGTCAAGTGCATACGTCAGTGTTTTTATTCAGCCAAGCCAAACCCATTTCCCCGATTTTATTCCTTAGCCCCGGGTCCCAGCCAACCAGGTCTAAGTGCATAGCATCCATATCTGTTTTCATGTTTTTTCTCATTTTTGGTTTAGTTACTATTCAGATTGAATTAAGATTAAATTTTTCATGGCCGAATCTTTGAAATCGAAACTCTTCCCGGAGACTCAAGGGCGTGGATCCCGGCTCGCTGCCAGATAATAAACGCACTATTCCATTCATACAAGAATTTTAAAATCAATTCAATGAAAATGTTAAAACAATTTACAAAGATATTGTTACGAAGTTGATTTGGAAATGACTTAAAGTTCATGGCCTGAACACGTATGGCTCTTTTTTCTTGGGGCAATCCCAGTCAGTCATCTCCTGGGATATTCATTCCGGACTTCTTATCTGGCCCTGCACGCAGCTTTCCGTGCATAATTAACAGTTATATGCGATTTCGTAAAGTTCCAAAGGTCCGGGCCGGAGATGTCCTCACTTCTCGCCTCGCACAAATTACGACATGTGGCTGCCATCGTTCGCCCATCTCCCTAGCCATTTCAGGATTATGGCGGGCCGGGATGTCGTTTTGAGCCTGGCAGACACTTTTAATTGAGAGACACTTGGCTGAGCTGTAGCGTGCAATTAAAATGCCATTACATGAGAAAACAAAGCAACAACTGCACAGTGGGATAAGGGAGTTTGAATATAAAAGTTAAATATAACATAGTATCAGATAATTCCTACTATCGCACTCTTTTTTTTCAGAAAAACTTATACGGCTTTGATACGACTTTATACGGATCTTTTTTACCTTTAACGGATCATCGCTAAACTATGGACAAGAGAATCTTCGACGATTACTTGAACTCGGTGGGATCTGACGAGAGCATCCTGTCCGTGATCGAGCCCTCCACTGAAGGTATGCTGACAGGGAAGTCTTGGAAGGCCAAGAAAAAACCTACATGTGCCCGGAAACAGAAGAAGTGCTCGAAGCCTAAGAAGACGTGCAAGTCAAAACCTAAGAAAACCTGCAAGCCCGGTCCTGTTATGAATAATGGATACCTTAACTTCGTGCGTGCCTACCGGGAAAAACACAGTTCCATGAAGCCACAGGAACTGATTAGAAGGGCGGCCAGAGCCTGGTGCCGTTTATCCGAGGAAAAAAAAAATATATACCGGCGCATGGTGAGTTTTTTGCATTATGTTATTTACTATCCTGTAACTAATCTTCTGAAATCCCGCAGTCCTGAGTCCGCAGTGCAATCCTGAAAAATGCGAGAAATCTTAGGTGGCTCATCTAAGTCTTCTTCAATCAATCCCCGTCTTCTGGCCCCTGCTAATTTTGATGTGCTATTGGTGGCTCATCTAAGTCGTCTTCAATCAATCCCTGTCTTCTGCCCTCGGCTAATTTTGATCTGAAAAATTAAGGTTTAGGTTTCCAAAACAGTCTATATTATTAATAAAGCATAAATTATTTTTTCGGCCTAATAAAGTTTTTATAATGGGAGGAAAGGTGATCAACCAAAATATACGCAAGAGCATGCTTTATGATGCTATTAATCGGACAGAGATAATTTCAGTTCCTATTGTATTTAAGAGAGAACTGCTAATAAGCGCCTGCTAGTCTTAGTTTTAGATTTTTAGTTTTAGAATTCCGTTTCTATTCTATTTTTAAAATGGACGGTCGGGTTATTATAGCTTTGCTTTACGTTCTGATTACTTGCAGTCTGACTTCTGCATGAATTATATGTGAGTTGATTTATTTTGAAGAGTTTTTGAAAAATTAAAATAAATTTCTTCTATAAAGGGACCAATCAGTGGCCTAAAACAGATGACTTCATGGACCATGTTGGAAGAAAAATAGGATTAGTCTATGGGAGTATTTTTTAACAAATCACCAAGAAAAATGTGTTCATCCCAAGGGTTATGATCTGAAAATTAAAGCGTAGGTTTCCAAACAGTCCGTAATATCAATAAAGCAAAAATTCACTTTTGGTCAATTTAAGTTTTAATAATGGGAGAAAAGGGTACAAAAAAACATTCGCAAGAGCATGCTCGATGTTTCTCTTATTCGGACAGAGATTATTTAATTATTATAATAGTACTTCACATACCGCCGCGATAGCAAGCTAATCAGTCTTTATTATTCTGCTAAAATGAAAGGTAGTGTTATTGTAGCTCTGCTGTTCGTTTTGAGTGCTTCGACTCTAAAAGTGGGAGATGGCGATAGGAATAGTGGATTTTTAAAGGAGTGAAAGTTCGTTTATTCACAAAACTCTTTGTCAAAAAGCCATCAGGCATTCCTTAAATTGGACAAGGAGTTCGACAAATGCTGCCAATCCAGAAAGACATCCAACAAGTTCGACGACTGTGCTTCTTGTTTAATTAAATGTAAAAAGTCTGACAACTCAAATATGAGAAGTCGCGTCTGGTATATTCTTCCCCCTGTGGATCATACTAACAATCCCGTACCCCGTTAAATTTATATCAACATTAAACATCAAAGATCACGTCACTAATAATCCAAGTTACTACAAACACATAAAAGTAAATTGACTCGTAATCGCCGGCATGGTCAGAAAAAATCAAAAATTTTAATTTAACTTAGATTTTGTTATTCTTTTAATAAATTTTTTATATTATCGGAGAGGAATGGTAATTTTTTTCAAAAATTCCGATGGCAATATATTCAGAAGATCGAATTTGATGTATAGGATATATGTGGTGTCTAATCGGACATATGTACACAGATTATTAAAGCTCTTATTGAGTTTTAAGAGCAGACTTCTTATAATATAATATTACCGTCACTTAAAAATATTAGTTTTGAGTAGGGAACTGCTTCAAAATTATGAGGAAATATAAATTATGGATAAGTTGATTTTAAAACTAGGGGCCAATAACGCGTGAACAGGTCGGACAAGTGGCACTCGGTGTTTGGTGTACATTTAGATACATTTGTATCTCGTGGCTCGCTGCGCGTAGCACGTGTCTATTCTGTTTATTCTGTCTAATCTGTTTATTCAGCTGTACAAGCCCATGGACTAAATTCAATTTATTATTCCACTATATGAGCTTTCGCACTTAACTTGCATGAATATATAATGAGGTCTCCGCTATGGAAATGGAACGGGTAACTGCTAACGCTAAACGCTAAATGGGAAAGGTAATGCGGAGGAAGTAAGGGGTGAACGGGGCAGACTGGGGCTGATTGGGGCGGAAAGGTATCGCAAGATTGCGTGTTCGAAGCTTGCCAACAACCATCTGACCCGGCGCCTGTTGTGAAACGGCTAAATTGAATTATTAATAACGCGCAACGCTCGCACTGAAGTGGATGCTATATCTGCAAATGTGTATAATGCATATTGTGGTTTTGCGGAGACATCCTTGGGACAGTTGGCAAGGAAGAAAGTATAGCCAAAGGGCAAAGAAAGGAAATGATTTAAATGGTGATTTTTACCAGACATGCTGCCAGCCTGCGCCTCCTCACGATTCTGTGCCTGGGTCCCATGTGTCAAATGCTCCTGGTGATGCGCCTCCTGGTCCGCATTTGGGTAAGTTCCCGCCACTGGATGGATCACCTGAGATGTGGACTTAGCCTCTAATTTTTGGTTTCTCTAGTTCAGTATGTGGATTGTTGTTTGAGGCGCAGAAATTCGTACCTCAGCCGTCATAATCAGTATCCGTAGCCCGAAGTTAGTAGCTGCAATCAAAGCAATAAACCAACCAAAGCAACCGGCTCTTTCACTGGGAAACGCAACCGAAAATCACTTTCACTCCGCAAACTGCCAAACTGCAGGCATTTATGACAGCCCAGCAGAAAGGGGGGCTGGACGGCGATCTCCTGGAACGTGTTTGGCACAAGGGCCAAAATCGCATAACAAAATTGTTGCTGAAAAGTTGAACAAATATTGAGGTCAGCAGAATGTCGAGTAGAGTCTCGAGCGGGCAGCATTGTTGCTGGTGCAAACTGTTTGCTAGCCTTTGGCACAAACTTTTTACACGCTCCCCGGCCCCGACGCCAGTCGGACTCGGATCCGGATCCGGAGCCTTTGCCGTGGCCGTTGTCGTCGTCGTAGCCGTGACTCTGAGTCCAGAGTTGAGCTGGGGGGAGAGGCCTCCGCAGAGGCTCGCCCTGAACGAAAAATATTCATATTCAAATATTTGTCAATAATACAAAATGGAAAAAATGAGTTGTTGCTGTTCGAGTTTGCATGGTGCAATGCAGACGTCGACGCAGCCCGGGGGTCCGGTTCCGATGCCGTCTGTCCCGACAGCCCACTACCATACCCTGAGTCCCGAACCTACAACCCTGCACCAACATCCCCAAAGCCCCAAAACCCCACACCTTCAGGCGTGCCAGCTGCTTTTCGATTTTTCGTTTTGCCACGGACAAGCCTTGGCTTTTCATATTGCATAATTGATTGGGGGTGCTGGGGGCGGAGTGTGTGAGTTTGGAGGTGTGGGCTGATTAAATACCAAGCAGACGGCATTGTCACTCCCCCTGGCGGCACAGGCCCACTCCGCCAGAATTTATGCACATTTTCAATATGCATTCAGATGCCATTCCTCATGCATTGATTGCCGCATTGGGCCGGAAAAGAGCATTGCCAAGTTGTGTGTTATATTTACGTTTTCCTTGGTAATAATTAAATTTCAGGATCTTAAAAGCGATATTCGTAAAAAATGCAACAAGTAGGATTTTAGTCTTGAATCGACATAAACCAAATTATAAAAGCATTAAGAAGGAACCAGGTTTTTTAAGCTGGAAACACTTTTCTTGTTAAAACACTATAACCAACAAATGAACTTAAATAAAATATGATACTTTGTATTTCTCTGGTAGCTTCCTCTGATAAATTATTCTTCTTAATCTCATACCTAGTTTCTTGCATACTAATAACCCATCCTGAAAGGATGTTCCCTAAGTTTTTTTCCTCCATTGCACTTCAGGGGCACCTATTCATATAGTTAGTTTACCCTCTTGGAATGATGTACTAGAGCTCGGAGAGCCCTCGACGAATCTCAAGTCGAGATATGGCCACACAGTAACCTAACGAGCCACAGGCATCTTCGGGCCCCATCCTTGTGACTATATAGTAATGAGAAACGGGTCGGGTCCTCGTTTCTCTAAGCATGAGACATTTAATTTTAAGCCACCCCACATGCACACGCACAGTGCCACATACATAATTGTGTATTCACGTAAGAGATATGGTAGCTGAAAGAGCTATATCAACTGGAGAGTCTTGGGGCAGGGAAGCCGGGCCGAGTCGGGCCGGGGCGTGCGGGGCATGGCTTGCCTTAAATTAAGATAATGACACGTGAGGTATCGCCTCCCGGGGCTTGGAGTGCTTGGTAAATTGCGATAACATAGAAACGACCTGAATGGCGGCTCACTTTAAAACACTTAACCCTTGACGCCCAAGCCAACCACCAGCACGCCCAACCACCATCCCCCTCTACCAATCGAATCCTTAAACCAACGACCCACCCAGGCGATTGCCCGCACTTTTAAAGCGCAACTTGATGGCAAAATGCCAAAGAGTTTGACTTCCTTGTTGGCGGATGGGGCCCTAAAGTAGGACATGCCAATGTGCAGGAAAGGTACACTTTGTGGCAAACTGGGAGAGAGCTACTTACTTCGGAGTACAAAAAAAGTAATTAGGTCATAACTTGGCATGCCAATTTATGGCTGAAATGGTTTAAGATTGTGGCATAGCGAGTATGTACTTTTTAAATAAGGTCTTTCATAAATAAAACAAAGAGATTACTTTTGTGATTTTCTCTTCTCAAGGCAATTTCCGGTATAAATTAGTAACTTTTACTGTTTGATGTTCAAATTAGCTAATCAATTGGAAGAACGAAAACTAGGGATAAACCGAATACCGAACGAATAAAGCCACCGAAATGTGAAGAGAAATCATTGAAGTTTGCAAACAAAATTTGCATTTCAAATAGCCACATGAAACATAGGTATGTCCTTGTATTTGTTACCACTTCCGTTGATGTGATTTGCGAAAGATATGCAGAGTAGTATCTGACATGTAATGTGGCCAGTTGGGAAAAGATGCGAGACGGGTCTACCAAGACCCTCGGCGAAAAGAAGAAAAAAGATTTTCTGCTCCAGACTTGGGCCCCAAGGGTGCCAACTACTTAGAGAAGCAGAAACAGAGTGGCTAAAAAACACACGCAAAGCAAACCACACATCTTTGGTCCAAAAGTTGTGAACAAACTCAAAATTCTTACTTAGAAATCACTGAGAATAGTAGGGTGATTTCTTTGGAGAAAATTATCTGAAAAATATAGAGAAAGTCACTTTATGAATTTTAATTTCTGAAGCTTGTGGTCTTATGCTGATACTATGTTATATTTAACTTTTATATTCAAACTCCCTTATCCCACTGTGCAGTTGTTGCTTTGTTTTCTCATGTAATGGCATTTTAATTGCACGCTACAGCTCAGCCAAGTGTCTCTCAATTAAAAGTGTCTGCCAGGCTCAAAACGACATCCCGGCCCGCCATAATCTTAAAATGGCTAGGGAGATGGGCGAACGATGGCAGCCACATGTAATTTGTGCGAGGCGAGAAGTGAGGACATCTCCGGCCCGGACCGTCCCACCACACACCATGGATCTTTACGAAATCGCATATATTAATTATGCACGGAAAGCTGCGTGCAGGGCCAGATAAGAAGTTCGGAATGAATATCCCAGGAGATGACTGACTGGGATTGCCGCAAAGCCATACGTGTTCAGGCCATGAACTTTAAGTCATTTCGAAATCAACTTCGTAACAATATCTTTGTAAATTGTTTTAACATTTTCATTGAATTGATTTTAAAATTCTTGTATGAATGGAACAGTGCGTTTATTATCTGGCAGCGAGCAGGGATCCACACCCTTGGGTCTCCGGGAAGAGTTTCGATTTCGAAGATTCGGCCATGAAAAATTTAATCTTAATTCAATCTAAATAGTAACTAAACCAAAAATGAGAAAAAACTTGAAAACAGATATGGATGCTATGCACTTAGACCTGGTTGGCTGGGACCCGGGGCTAAGGAATAAAATCGGGGAAATGGGTTTGGCTTGGCTGAATAAAAACACTGACGTATGCACTTGACTTGACTTGCACATTTGCGATGGCAGAAGGCCTTGACAACTCAGTTGAAGCTGGAGCCAAAGCCAAAGCCAAATCCGAAGAAAAATAGTTATTGTTAGAGCAACGAAGGCCATGCCACGAGAGAGGCAGTAAGTAGCTTTATTATAGGATTTTAAGTTATTAAACCGGTGGCACGGGGTGAAAAGGGAGTGGAAAAGATTGCAAGTAGATGAGGACCAAGGATGCAACGATGAGCATTCACATGTGCGTCTTCATGTATCAGGACTTGGTCCAAGTGATGGCAGGATGGCCTACAGCCAAATTTGTCAACAAGACTTGAAAAGAAATTCAATTCATCATTCTGAGTCTTTTGTGGCTAAAGCTTGAATATTAGCAATGTATGAGATCAGATCTAAACCGAGGAATCCACTTCAAACTAAATCATTTTTGTACAAAAATTCAATTATTTATAAAATTAAAAAAAAATTGTACAAAGAGAGTAATTATAGATCTGTAGACAAGTGTGATTGGCTTAATCAATTGGCTTTTTGATAGTTGCTTTACTTACAATAAGAAAAGATTAGAAAAACTTAACCCTAAGAACCTAAACTTTAAACCTAAGAAATAAAATCAAATCCAGTGAGAATACATAAGCTTGAATAAAAGGTTGTCTCTTTCTGAAACAGAGAGAATTTTTTATATGATTAAGATGCTTTTTGAAAGAAGTTGACAATCATAAAAATAGTATGATTACATACATAGGAATTCATGCCGCAAGTCTACTGATAACAAGACTGTTATAACAAGCTCTCAACAAGGAAAATTTTACTTCCATCCGAATGTGAGGAGGATCATACGTATTTTGGAAGAGTGTCGAGAACTTTGCATTATCGAGAGTGATCCCCTTCCCACTAAGTATATGAGCAAGACTCGGTCGAAATAAGAAAGACGAGATGTCAAGCTGTGCTTGACTGAATCTCCTATAAAAGGAAGATTTTCCGCTGAGAGGAATAGTGTTTCATGTGCCTTCGAACAGTACGCATACCCTTACTCTTTTTTTCGAGATGAAATATTTGGTAACTATTTTTATACCCTTGCAGAGGGTATTATAATTTTGTCCAAAAGTGTGCAACGCAGTGAAGGAGACATCTCCGACCCTATAAAGTATATATATTCTTGATCAGGATCACCTCCTGAGTTGATATGAGCATGTCCGTCTGTCCGTCTGTCTGTTTCTACGCAAACTAGTCTCTCAGTTTTAAAGCTATCGACTTGAAACTTTGCACACACCCTTCTTTCCTTTGCACGCTGTATATAAGTCGGAACGGCCCGGAACGGCCCGGATCGGCCGACTATATCCTATAGCTGCCATATAACTGATTGATCGGAAATGGTATAACTTTGGTGTTTTTAAAGATAGAAAGCTGGAACTTGGTACAGATTATATTTTTGGTCAGTTAATCCGACCTAAATTTCATTAGGATCGGCCGACTATATCCTATAGCTGCCATATAACTGAACGATCGGAAATGACCCAACTTTCGTGTTTTTGATGATAGAAAGCACTTGGTACACATTCTATTTTTGGTCAGTTAATCCGATCAACCAAATTTCATAACGATCGGTTGACTATATCTTATAGCTGACATATAACTGAACGATCGGAAATGGTATTTGGTAGAAATATTAAATTTCGTATTTTTGAAGATAGAAGCTTGGGACTTTTTATTAGATTTTTTATTGTAATTAATTGGTTTTATTATGATGTAATCATAAGGATCGGCCAACTATATCCGATGTTTGCGATATATATCCGGTTTTAGCTGCTAGGGTATATCAACTTCGGCTCCGCCCAAAGTTAGCTTTGCTTTCTTGTTTTTTTTGAAAACATACGATACGATATTGCTTGTTTGCTTTCTTGAAATATTGAAATAGTTGGTAACTATTTTTTTTTTTGAAAACATACGATACGATATTGCTTTTTTGCTTTCTTTGCCATCACCATGGCTCGTCCCCAATTTGGCTGTGGTGGATATGGAGGATTCGGGGGACAGCAGCAGCAAGAAGAGCAATACGGTGGAGGCTTTTCCGGCTTTGGAGGAGAGTTTGGTCAGCAACAACAGCAACAAGACGGCTTCGGAGGCTTTGGAGGTCAATAGCAATAACAGCAACAAGCCGGTTTCGGAGGCTTTGGAGGGGGCTTCGGTCAGGAGCAACAGCAACACGGCTTTGGTGGATACTTTTGATAATTTCCATGTCATTAATTTGTACCATATAGTCATGTGGGAGTATAGTATCTTGATTAACAAATAAAAAATTTTAAATGAAAACATATCAATCTTTTAAAGCCCTGTTGGCCGTTAAAATTCCGCTTAATTTTTGATAGAATTAATGCGTATTTCTGCTCTGAGCCAGTTAATAATTTAGTGCGATACATTAGGCGACAATAAGGCGACATTTTGGGTGTCAGCCTTTGACCCTAAAACTAATTTAATGGAAAATATCCGAGGAGAAGACTTGAAATTTTCCCTTATCGCGACACGCAACTGTCGCAAACCCGCCGCGGGCTGACAACAACTAAGTATAGAATCGCACCCGGCTCATGTGGTTCATATTTTAGCCGACATATCTATTTATATGCAAATGCCACACCTCCCGGAATGTCGAGGCAGCCCCACTGTCACCTGGACTACTCATCCTCGAATGCGTGCCAAAGTCAAAGCCGAAGAATTTTCCTTTGTTGTTTCGGCATTCCTGCAATAATAAATCACGGCACCTATGCCGCCGCCGGAAGGGAGTCGGCGAGGAAAAACTTAGAAATCTAGGGCCAATTAATTGATTTAACTGCTGCTGGCAAAGGCACATACCAAAGATGAGAGGCAAAGGCCCAGGCGAACGCAAGGGCATAAACACAGCCAAAGTTAGGCCCATGGCAAAGGCTCCAAAGGGTCGCAATTTATGGCCGCAACATCAACTCGAACCCACACATAATAAATCATAACATTTTACAGATAATAGAAAACCTCACACATGTCCAATGAATTGCCTCCCTTAGCTACCAAAAGATATCGGTTTGTTGGCCCGCTAGCTAGAAATTTTATTAAGCCGCAAAGAGTTTCCACTACGAGCAGTAGAGGGAATAAAAATGGTTTCGCATAATTTATGCCGCCTAGGAGGAAACTAAACATGCCATCGCAGACATGAGCACTCTTAAGCTTAAAAGAGCAGGACCAGGTTTTCCAAAAAACCAACAGGCTGGCATTTTTCTGTCAAATCTGTCAATATTAAATTTTTGGTTTTTTGGGGAAAAATTTAGTTTGTAGTAGGCTGTGAGGTCAAATTCCTGCCTATATAAGGCGGAATTTGTATAGAAAGCATCAGTATATTTTTCAACCGGCTAGAAGCAAGACGCAAAATTAAAAGTATAGTCTCTGAATTATTTTTTGAAAAAAAAAATATTTAAATTACAGTGACAAGTTTTATATATAAAAATAATAAAAATCAACGACTGGTGAGTATGAAAAATAAATTCCCCCAAAAAATATTCCTTTCTTTATAAATTAATAAATTAAATTCAGTAAATTAATATTCAGTACATAATAGTGAAACAAAATTGTTTATCGAGTGAATTTTTATTAATAAATAGTAAAAACTGAAAAGTCTTGGTGCCGGTGCCAGGGATTTTAATTTATTTATTAATAAATAGTGAAGACTGAAAAGTCTTAAGCACATTGGTGCCGGTGCCAGGCATTCATCTCAGCTTCAAGCAGGGAAAAATATTTGCTTCTAAAAAAAAATCGGTATAAATCTAAATTTAATTTAAAATTTCAATCGTAGTACGGATCGCGTGAGTTTACATATCTCGTCCGGTTAGCGAATTTGCAAAAGCCAATGAACGGTTCCCCCAAAAAATAATCCTTTCTTTGGGATTTGATCGGTCAAAATTTATATTCAGTACACTTTGAAACGTTGAGAAAGCAGTTCCTAAATTAATAGTGAAAAAAAATTGTTTATCGAGTGAAATTTTATTAATAAATAGTAAAGAGTGAAAAGTCTAGGTGACGGTGCCAGGCAACTAGGAACTATCCCAGCTTTCAACTAGGAATAATTTTTGCATCTAAAAAAAAAATAGGTATAAATCTAAATTTAATTTAAATTTTCAATCGTAGTTCGAATCGGTACAAATTTAAATCTTATTTAAATTTTCAATCGTTCTTCGTACCGGTATAAATCAAAATTTTATTTAAATTTTCAATCGTAGTTCAGATCGGTATAAATCTAAATTTTATTTAAATTTTCAATCGTTATTCGGATCGGTATAAATTTAAATTTTTTTTTATTTTCATTCGTAGTACGGATCGCGTGAGTTTACATATCTTGTGGGGTTAGCGAGTTGGCCAAAGCCAATGTACGGTTGCAAGGCATGTTGAGTGAAAGTGTTAGAAGCTTCCTTGGGCAACGCCCTTGGACCGGGCCGCGTGAGTTAACATGCCCTAGTTAACATTCCCTCTCCACAGCCACAGGGAGGGAACACAGAAACGGCAACTGTAAAAACTAACGCCGATGGACAACAACAAAAAGATCGCCAAAAAGAGAACTCTGACGGACACGCACAATTCTCGTGCACTCATACATATTCCCCTACATACTTCTTCATAATAAAAAGATTATTCTTATTCTGTACTCCAAGCTAAACGGTCGTTTATTTGCAAGCCTTCTTTCCAGCGTTTGAAAAAGCGATAGCCATATACGAGATCTCCTCTACTCCCTCGGTTACGAGACTGTAACTGGCGCAGCCGGACTACGAACAAGGGATTAACCATGCCCACTACGCTTATCGTTCAAATTTGCTTGTAGGAGGTAAGTGAACAGGTGACAGCAGTGGTTGTGACACATTAGTAGTGAAATAATTACAAATAATACATACATACTTAAAAGAAAGAACAATTGCAAAGGGAAACGTGCAAGTGCAAATGGGATTTCGGGAGGGAGCGACACCAAAAATGTGCAAATAAAATAAACGAAATCGGAGGTGAGTGAACAGGTGACAGCAGTGGTTGTGACACATTAGTAGTGAAATAATTACAAATAATACATACATACTTAAAAGAAAGAACAATTGCAAAGGGAAACGTGCAAGTGCAAATGGGATTTCGGGAGGGAGCGACACCAAAAATGTGCAAATAAAATAAACGAAATCAAATTCTAAATGCCATGCAAGCGACCGTATATGTGTACATCAAACGCTGATAAGGCACCGGGTTCGCTAGTACAGGACAATTTACTACTACTATACCAACAAGCTGCTGTGTGCGATGACCGTATAAGTGTACATCAATCGCTAATAAGGCACCGGTATCATCAATACACAGCAGCAGCTCAACAGAAACAAAAAATATAAATAAAAAAAAAAAAAAAAAAAAAATTCGACATCTTAAACTGCTGTGTGTGTCGGAGAGCACTTTGTGTGCACATGTGAGAGAGCCATGCTACTATTGCATCAGCCTATAGCTGAATTGCGATTGGTTGTTCTGGTTTGGTGTCTCCAAGAACAATCGTTACGACGCGACGACAGCCTGGCGCCGCTGTCGCCGAGTATGGTTCACTGAAGAAGCAAATTAAGGAAATAGATCAGTCGAACATTAGACTTCGTTGTGACCAGAGCTCGATATCAACGCGTATATCAATCGCCGACAACGGAAGAGGACAATCTGCACACAGTGGTTTACAAAGATAAATGTAAGTTGTGTGATTAACGACCGTATATGTGTACAACAATCGCTGTTAAGACACCGGGATCGTTTCCATTTGTCAATTTACATGAATGCATTTACATGAATGAAAAACAAAACAAGAACACTAAAACAAAAGAAAAAAAAAACCAAAAATGGTAGAATAAATTAAACCTGCACAAATATTATACTGTTCCCTTCGGCAAATGTCAGGCAAACATGTATGTATTTGTGTTACGCCGCTCGTGAAACTCTTGTTGCGTCGTTGTGCAGTGGCTGCCGCCATGAGCCGATTACGCGCCGGAGTGGCGGAGTGACACTTGGTGCCGTTTGGCTTGTACATTGTTGAATTCCCTTTTTGCACTACACACTAAAGAATAATAAAATTAATTGAAAGAAAATGCTATACATTCTATTTCTATAATATATGTCAAAAAAAAAAAAAATAAATAAATAAATAAAATAAATAAATAAATAAATAAATAATAATAATAATAATAAGAAAAAGAAGATAACTAAGATAACTTTTATAGTTGTCACTTGTTCACTAACCTCTAATAAAAAAATAAAAAGAAAAACAAGAAGGAAAGCTAACTTCGGTCGGAGCCGAAGTTGATATACCCTTGCAGTTAAAACCGGATATATATCGCAAACATCGGATATAGTTGGCCGATCCTAATGAAATTTGGTAGGTTAGATGAACTGACCAAACCAAAACTAGAATCTGTACCAAGTTCCAGCTTTCTATCTTCAAAAACACAAAAGTTGGGTCATTTCCGATCCTTCAGTTATATGGCAGCTATAGGATATAGTCGCCCGATCCTTATGAAATTCGGCACGTCGTATTAATTTGCTAAAAATAGCTTTCATGTCAAATTTGACTCTAAAAACACCAAAGTTATACCATTTCCGATCAATCAGTTATATGGCAGCTATAGGATATAGTCGACCGATCCCGGTCGTTCCGACCTATATACTGCGTGGAAAAAAAAGAAGGGTGTGTGCAAAGTTTCAAGTCGTTACCTTTAAAACTGAGAGACTAGTTCGCGTAGAAACAGACAAACAGACAGACGGACAGACGGACAGAAGGACAGACGGACAGACGGACATGCTCATATCAACTCAGGAGGTCATCCTGATCAAGAATATATATACTTTATAGGGTCGGAGATATCTCCTTCACTGCGTTGCACACTTTTGGACAAAATTATAATACCCTCTGCAAGGGTATAATAATATATATATTTATAATATATATATATATATATATATATATACTAACTATATACCAACTATATCCGATGTTTGCGATATATATCCGGTTTTAACTGCAAGGGTATATCAACTTCGGCTCCGCCCGAAGTTAGCTTTCCTTTCTTGTTTTTTTGTATATTTACTAAATCGCATACAACAACAAGGTGGAAGGAGCACTACACGAATGGCATACAACTTACACTAAACACAGGGAAGCAGCAAAACTACAGGTTTTCCTTTTGCTTTGTAAAGAATACATACATACATATATGTACATAGTATCACATATTATAGTATACTATTTAACCACATTAATACACAAACGAAGCCGTGTGGCAAATTTATCCTAATTTATACTATACTTCAAAAATACATACACATATAATTAATTTACATATATATAGTTACTACTTTACATATTATTACTATTCTATATACATTACATACGTAGCATTACCATACTTCAATATAGCCGGTTTTTTTTCTCAATACAGGTAAAACAGTCACCACTAGTAACATAGTTAGGGGCAGATTCGATCTAAAGAGAAAGACCAGCTAGTTCAATCCCAAATCAATACTCCTACCTACGCTATGGATTCCGGTAACGCATCAGGGCTACTAAGTCCCATCCTTGGCAATTCATCAACTCCCTCAAACACAAGCCTGAATTCACAACAACTACTTGCCCTTGTTCACCAACTACCCACCTACGAAGGCCCACCTGACAATCTTGATAGATTCATAAGTAGAGTAGATCAACTACTTTTGTTAGCCGGATCAGTAGACCAAGCAACTTGCGGACAGTACTTACTGGGAACTATCCGTGACAAGATTAAAGGCAGGGCGGACGAGGCCCTGAGTGTCTGCGATGTACTCATCAGTTGGGATGATATCAAAGAAAATCTCAAGCGACTATACTCTAGCAAAAAAACAGAAGAAATGCTTGTTAGAGAGCTACATAATCTTCCGGACGGACTCAGTATGGGAAAACTATATTACACAGCCACCAAAATAAGAAGAGAATTAATGTCCCTGGCCAGAGAAGCAGACCCTAGTGAACACTCACTCACAGTCAAACGGGAACAGTATGACAGATTCTGCCTAAATACTTTCTTAGTTGGATTAAAGGACCCACTTAGGTCAGCCATTAGGAATCAAAGACCAGAGACAATCGAGAAAGCGTACGAGTACGGACAGGTCGAATTAAACTTCTCTAGAAACCTGAATAAACACCAAGAAAATCGACGACGCGACAGCTCGACATACACGAATCACCCATACGCGAAAGGACAATCAACCTATAATAACTCCAATAGACGCTACATATTAGGACAACAGAATTATAATAATGGGAACCACGGCCGCCATGTACCACGACATGATAACACCAACAACGACAATAATAATCGCTTTACACAGCGACAGCAAAATTTTAACAACAATGATAATAGACGCTTCACAAGTCAATATAATTCCAATAACGATAGTAATGGTCGACACGATAGACAAACTTTGGGTAGGAACCCCTTCCACAATGACACCAAACCAGAGCAGACCCTAAACCACCAAGGCAAGAACAACCAAAATCCAAGCGCTCCCCTATGTAACATCAACGATGATGAGAATTTTCTACTAGAAGCCTCGGGAAACCAGTCGGTTACATAAGCAAGAAGAGTCACGGATCTTCCTTGCCATTTGTTTTCCTATCATCAAACTTCATGGTGTCAAAACCTCTCAAATTTTTAATAGATACTGGATCTACCTACTCATTCATAAACCCAGCACTTATTAACGAAGACCGCATCAAAAAACTTACCTCCGATATAAATATCCACACTGCACTCAGTACATTCAAAATTCGGGAATATACAGATGGAATAAATTTCAAACAGTTCAAAAAAATACCCAATTTTAAGTTCTTACTATTTAACTTCCACCCTCACTTCAATGGTCTTCTAGGCATGGATTTCCTATCCGGCCTAAATGCAAAAATAAACTTTGCCGACTCCATATTAGAAACATCAGAAACCACCATTCCAATACTCACAAGAGCAAACCCTGTAGATACATTACATACCATACCACAAAATACCAAATTGCGACTACCGCTCCCAGTAAACTTCATGCAGGGAGACTTTATATATGAAACCACTAATTTGGATAATCAAATAGTCATAACAGGTGGCTTATACACCGCAATCGCAGGATCCGCCTATTTCGAAGTCTGTAATAACTCAGACCAGATCCAAACACTTTATCTGGAAGAACCGTTACAGGCAGAAGAGTTCTCTCCACGAACACACCAATACTTAAACTGCATGTCCGCGGCAACTAATACAGAATTACCGGATAATCAACAATTTAACATTCAGACGGAACACCTCAATAGCGAGGAAAAAAAACATATTCTCAAACTATGCAAATCATTCAAAAGACTTTTTCACGGTGAAAACAATCAACTAACGTTCTCTAACGTAGTCAAACACTCAATACCAACAACAGATAATATACCGATTCACACAAAATCCTACCGTTACCCATTTATTCATAAAGACGAAGTTCGAAAGCAAATTTCAAAAATGCTCGAACAGAACATCATAAAAAGCAGCTATTCCCCATGGAGTGCACCCGTCTGGGTCGTACCTAAGAAAGGGGACATCACAGGCGAAAAAAAGTGGCGCTTGGTAATCGATTTTCGAAAATTAAATGAAAAAACGATCGCTGATAGATACCCTATTCCGAACATTGCAGATATACTAGACAGCTTAGGAAAGACTATGTATTTCACAACAATAGACTTAGCAAGTGCTTTTCACCAAATACAAATGAACCCACGCGACGCCAACAAGACGGCATTCACCGTCGAAAATGGGCATTATGAGTTGAGAAGGATGCCCTTCGGGCTCAAGAACGCCCCTGCCACGTTCCAACGCGTTATGGACAACGTCTTAGGTGACCTAGTTGGTAACGTCTGTCTCGTATATCTCGACGACATAATAGTATTCTCACCCTCACTCCAAAAACATATAGCAGATATTAAATCTGTATTCATAAAGCTCCAAAACGCAAATCTAAAAATCCAGCCGAGCAAGTGTCACTTTTTAAGGAAGGAAATAAGCTTCCTGGGACACATCGTCACCCAGGAAGGAGTCAAGCCAAACCCACATAAGATACAAGCCATCAAGGACTTCCCCTGCCCAAAGACAGCTAGGGAAATTAAGTAATTTTTGGGACTATTAGGGTATTACAGGAAATTCATTAAGGACTTCGCATGAATAACTAAACCCATGACGAGACAATTAAAAGGAGGGAAACCTATAATAATAGATGAGGAATTTAAACAGGCATTCGAAACGTCGAAAGATCTCCTTTGTAATGATCCCATACTCATATACCCTGATTTTAATAAGCCGTTCACGTTGACCACAGACGCAAGTAACTATGCGATAGGCTCTGTGTTGTCACAAGGCCCGGAAACTAATGACAAACCCATATCCTTTGCTAGCAGGACACTATCGGATACGGAAGTCCGCTATTCTACGATAGAGAAAGAAATGCTAGCTATCATTTGGTCTGTAGGTCATTTCAGACCATACCTCTTCGGGCGAAAATAGTCACAGACACAGGTTAGACAATCTGAAAGGCCAGAATACAAAACTACTTCGATGGAAAACGATCCTGGCCCCTTACGACTACAAAATCGAATACAAAAAAGGGTCGCAAAATGTAGTCGCCGATGCACTTAGCAGAATTGAGCCAAACTTGAACATAAACGAAGACCCACAAATTATATCAATCGCTTCACAACCACTAAATCACTTTAATAGTCAAATAGTATTCCGTACTGGACCAACAACTGCAAGACAAATAGAAACACCGTTTGCCCAAAAAATAAGACACATAATCACAGAACCCGTGCATACTTTCGATTCCGTTACAAACGCCCTCCAAACAATCCTGAAACCGAATAAAACATTCGCAATATTTGCACCAGACGATATTTTTAAAATAATAGAAGAATCCTATAATAACTATTTCTTCGAAAACGACGTATACAAACTTTCCCGCTGCAAAATACAGCTAACCGAAATTACTGATCCCCATGACCAGGAAAACAAAATCCGAGAGTACCACTTTAACACCAATCATAGGGGGATAGATGAAACATATAACCATTTAAAAAGGGACATTTATTTTCCGCATTTAAAAGACATTATCACAAAAATTATAAAAAATTGCGATACCTGCCTAACCCTCAAGTACGACAGACACCCCCATAGACCACTGTTGCAAACTCCATCCGCCCCAGAGGGACCATTGGCGGTCGTGCATATAGACATATATTTCATTAACAATGCTTGTAACCTCACCATTATAGACAAATTCACCAAGCTAGCGCAAGCCTACCCCCTTAGCAATAGGAATTCAATAAAAGTCGTCGTTGCCCTATTACAATTTATAAGCCACTACGGCCCACCAAAGGAAATAATTTTCGACCAGGGCGCGGAATTTTCAGGCAGTCTATTCAATGACCTCTTAACCCAATTCCAAATAACAGCTCATAAAACTTCATTTCAACAATCAACGGGCAACGCTTCGGTCGAAAGACTGCATTCCACCTTAACTGAACTATACAGAATAATCATCAACAAACGAAAGGAAGCACGCCTAGAATGCGGGCATGACCAGATACTCGCAGAAGCTGTTGCAACATATAACAATGCAATACACTCCAGCACTTCTTATACCCCTTTCGAGCTCTTTCACGGAAGAACTCACATATTCAACAAAACAATAACATTCAACAATCACCACGACTATCTTAAGAAATTAAACGAATTTAGGAAAGAAATATACCCAAAAGTACAGGAACATTTAAACTCGTGATAACCGAACCTAATGATACGGTATTTAGAAAAGAAAACCGTAGAAACAAGATAACTCCGAGATTTTCATTACACAAAGTAGGTAGGGACAAAGGCGTCACCTTCCTAACAACTAAAGGTCAAAAGTTACACAAACAAAAAATTAGAAAAATAGTTAAGAAATGTATAAAACCCGGAGCACCAGCTTAAGCAACAATACTAACACCGACACAATTCTCAACGTACTTCGAACCGTAGTCCAGAATCCTTTTAACAACCACCCAGTTCTTAAAGTATCATTAGAAGTCCTACGAAACAAATCAAACAGGTAGAAACCGAAATAGATACATTCTTTCCGCACACTAGAAGTAAAAGCGGTCTTATTATGGGCTGGGGACTATACTCAAATATACCCCGGGAAACCTGGATGATACATTTATCAATTTCAATATATAGTAATAGGATAAACTATAATATAAACAAACTGATCTGATAGTCCCTTAATCAGTAAACTAAACCTTATCGCTAAATTTTTATTTAATAAGGAACAAATACAACATAAGAAATATAATAAGTAAACAAAATGTAACGTTAGCATAAGATGAACATATTATAAATTAAGTTATACCTTAAACACAACACACATGTTTAATATTAAGATAACCATTTTTGATATAAATTGTTAAATTCAAATATCGTCGGAGTTCGTGGCGCACACCAACAACACGTCGCCTGGCTACCTGACTCCGATCCGGCCATTCCCCCTCTGTGGCCTTCTCTTCGGACTGGGGGGGGAGGAGTTAACATGCCCTAGTTAACATTCCCTCTCCACAGCCACAGGGAGAGAACACAGAAACGGCAACTGTAAAAACTAACGCCGATGGACAACAACAAAAAGATCGCCAAAAAGAGAACTCTGACGGACACGCACAATTCTCGTGCACTCATACATATTCCCCTACATACTTCTTCATAATAAAAAGATTATTCTTATTCTGTACTCCAAGCTAAACGGTCGTTTATTTGCAAGCCTTCTTTCCAGCGTTTGAAAAAGCGATAGCCATATACGAGATCTCCTCTACTCCCTCGGTTACGAGACTGTAACTCGTGCTTGTCTAGATGTCGGATGGTATTGCCCGCCTATCTAGCCTTAAACTAATGCTGAGGGCAGCCTGACGACAGGCGAGCACCACCTTACCACGCCTCTGCCTATTAATGGTGTCATTTACATGCTGCAGCCACATGCAGTTACCAGCGAAGGGCGACGATAAATAATACCGCAATTTTTGTTTCCATCGGAGAAAAGTCGGTAGTTAATCGGTGCTCTTAGTTTTTTTTTGCCGTCGAAATCGTAAATAAATTAAACGCCCTGATTGATCATCTTTTCCCCAATGACAACCATAGAGGGGATAGCAAGCGGGGACGCTGCGCTGTCATTGTGGCCGAAAATGTCGAGGCAGCCGCTCGTAAACATAAATCCAAGTGACGCTAATTGTTTGTTGCAATTACTGCTGCAGTTGTTGCCACCGTTCAGTTACGTGTGCAGCCAGTTGTTGCTGATGCTTTCGCTGTTGATGCTTCTGCTGCTGCTGCTGCAACTGCAAACAATTACTCAAACATTGTTGCAACTGCTGCTGATATTGTGGATGTTGTTGCTGTTGCTGCCGCTGCTGCTCGTTGTGCGTGTTAAATGGCAACTACTCTGGCTGCTAGTGATAATCACTCGACGCCCTCTGCTCCTGTCGATTTCTACTTAGTTTAAGCTGCTTCGTGTTTGGCTTTTATCTTCATTTTAGCTCTTTGTCAGCAGCTTAATCAGAAAGGTTTTCAGAGCTTTGATTTAATTGAATGTTGCTTTAGCAACCTGAGAATTAGAAAATTTAAACTTTTCGAAAATGCAACAATGCATAGCAAAGGGCTCTTAATTTGTATAACTCATTTTAATTTTTGTTTTTTTTTTTAATTGAAGTAACTTGCCTCTGTAAACATGATGCAGCTGCAAAAGCATGCAATCCCTTATTTCTAGCCCCCTCATTTTGATATTCAGCAGATAATTCCTACTATCGCACTCTTTTTTTTCAGAAAAACTTATACGGCTTTGATACGACTTTATACGGATCTTTTTTACCTTTAACGGATCATCGCTAAACTATGGACAAGAGAATCTTCGACGATTACTTGAACTCGGTGGGATCTGACGAGAGCATCCTGTCCGTGATCGAGCCCTCCACTGAAGGTATGCTGACAGGGAAGTCTTGCAAGGCCAAGAAAAAGCCTACATGTGCCCGGAAACAGAAGAAGTGCTCGAAGCCTAAGAAGACGTGCAAGTCAAAACCTAAGAAAACCTGCAAGCCCGGTCCTATTATGAATAATGGATACCTTAACTTCGTGCGTGCCTACTGGGAAAAACACAGTTCCATGAAGCCACAGGAACTGATTAGAAGGGCGGCCAGAGCCTGGTGCCGTTTATCCGAGGAAAAAAAAAATATATACCGGCGCATGGTGAGTTTTTTGCATTATGTTATTTACTATCCTGTAACTAATCTTCTGAAATCCCGCAGGCATAAAAGACGCAAAGTGTGCAATCCTGAAAAATGCGAGAAATCTTAGGTGGCTCATCTAAGTCTTCTTCAATCAATCCCCGTCTTCTGGCCCCTGCTAATTTTGATGAGCTATGGTGGCTCATCTAAGTCGTCTTCAATCAATCCCTGTCTTCTGCCCTCGGCTAATTTTGATCTGAAAAATTAAGGTTTAGGTTTCCAAAACAGTCTATATTATTAATAAAGCATAAATTATTTTTTCGGCCTAATAAAGTTTTTATAATGGGAGGAAAGGGGATCAACCAAAATATACGCAAGAGCATGATTTATGATACTATTAATCGGACAGAGATAATTTCAGTTCCTATTGTATTTAAGAGAGAACTGCTAATAAGCGCCTGCTAGTCTTAGTTTTAGATTTTTAGTTTTAGATTTCAGTTTCTATTCTATTTTTAAAATGGACGGTCGTGTTATTATAGCTTTGCTTTACGTTCTGATTACTTGCAGTCTGACTTCTGCATGAATTATATGTGAGTTGATTTATTTTGAAGAGTTTTTGAAAAATTAAAATCAATTCTTCTATAAAGGGACCAATCAGTGGCCTAAAACAGATGACTTCATGGACCATGTTGGAAGAAAAATAGGATTAGTCTATGGGAGTATTTTTTAACAAATCACCAAGAAAAATGTGTTCATCCCAAGGGTTATGATCTGAAAATTAAAGCGTAGGTTTCCAAACAGTCCGTAATATCAATACAGCAAAAATTCACTTTCGGTCAATTTAAGTTTTGATAATGGGAGAAAAGGGTAGAAAAAAATATTCGCAAGAGCATGCTCGATGTTTCTCTTATTCGGACAGAGATTATTTAATTATTATAATAGTACCACGCATACCGCCGCGAAAGCAAGCTAATCAGTCTTTATTATTCTGCTAAAATGAAAGGTAGTGTTATTGTAGCTCTGCTGTTCGTTTTGAGTGCTTCGAGTCTAAAAGTGGGAGATGGCGATAGGAATAGTGGATTTTTAAAGGAATGAAAGTTCATTTATTCACAAAACTCTATGTCAAAAAGCCATCAGGCATTCCTTAAATTGGACAAGGAGTTCGACAAATGCTGCCAATCCAGAAAGACATCCAACAAGTTCGACGACTGTGCTTCTTGTTTAATTAAATGTAAAAAGTCTGACAATTCAAATATGAGAAGTCGCGTCTGGTATATTCTTCCCCCTGTGGATCATACTAACAATCCAGTACCCCGTTAAATTTATATCAACATTAAACATCAAAGATCCAGTCACTAATAATCCAAGTTACTACAAACACATAAAAGTAAATTGACTCGTAATCGCCGGCATGGTCAGAAAAAATCAATAATTTTAATTTAACTTAGATTTTGTTATTCTTTTAATAAATTTTTTATATTATCGGAGAGGAATGGTAATTTTTTTCAAAAATTCCGATGGCAATATATTCAGAAGATCGTATTTAATGAATAGCATATATGTGGTGTCTAATCGGACATATGTACACAGATTATTAAAGCTCTTATTGAGTTTTAAGAGCAAACTTCTGATAATATAATATTACCGTCACTTAAAAATATCAGTTTTGAGTAGGGAACTGCTTCAAAATTATGAGGAAATATAAATTATGGATAAGTTGATTTTAAAAATAGGGGCCAATAACGCGTGAACAGGTCGGACAAGTGGCACTCGGTGTTTGGTGTACATTTAGATACATTTGTATCTCGTGGCTCGCTGCGCGTAGCACGTGTATCTGTTTATGCAGTTGTTCAAGCCCATGGACTAAATTCAATTTATTATTCCACTATATGAGCTTTCGCACTTAACTTGCATGAATATATAATGAGGTCTCCGCTATGGAAATGGAACGGGTAACTGCTAACGCTGAACGCTAAATGGGAAAGGTAATGCGGAGGAAGTAAGGGGTGAACGGGGCAGACTGGGGCTGATTGGGGCGGAAAGGTATCGCAAGATTGCGTGTTCGAAGCTTGCCAACAACCATCTGACCCGGCGCCTGTTGTGAAACGGCTAAATTGAATTATTAATAACACGCAACGCTCGCACTGAAGTGGATGCTATATCTGCAAATGTGTATAATGCATATTGTGGTTTTGCGGAGACATCCTTGGGACAGTTGGCAAGGAAGAAAGTATAGCCAAAGGGCAAAGAAAGGACTAATCGCAGCACTTACGACCATAATTTGTCAATTTTCGAAACAATTCACCAAGCTGGCATAAATTGTCTCGTGGCCTCCTCTTTCCACTTTCCTGTCGTTGGCTTTTGGCACCCATTAAAGCCCATTTTTCTTACTCAAAGGGACATGGCCGCCATGAAAAAGGAAAGTGAACCCAGTAACAGTGACGAACTGAGAAAAAAAACGCATTTAAATACCGTAGTGTGCATAAATTACTCAGGAGCTGACATTTTCCCACATAAATGTGTAAATGAGTCCCCGTTTTTGGACTTTTTTTCGGCCTTGCCGGGAATGAAATTGAAACGGAAAAGCGGACATCAAGTTGGGGTAGGTGGAAACTCAATTGGAGAACTTGTTGCACTGGCTTGTTGAAACAAGGTCTGCAAAAATAATCTGTAAACTTTAATAAGTAAGACTCTATATTATCAAAAAAGCAATAAATAAAAAATAACCGAAAAGTCTAATAAAAATGAATTGAGCTTTCAATAAATGTAGTCCCCCAATCAAATTTAATCGAAATTGACCAAATGGACGGCCAAATAAAAATTCACTTAGCTAACAAGAAAGAAAATCAAACAGATATTGCCACCCTTGATTTTGGGGCTTTTTGTTTTTTTTTTTTGTGCAAAAAAAGGAGAAAGTGTAAGAAAATTACCGCCCCTTTTTGCATTTGGGCCGAAGATAACTGCCGACCAAATGACATACATTAGGACCAAGGTACACTTACATGGAGGCTGGGACGGCTTATGGATGTGCGCAAAATCAATTCAAGATCGATTTCCTTTGATGATATGGTAAGTGTATGGACCAGAGTCTAATAAGTCGGCCATCTCCACGCCGTACGTGACAGTTGTGCCAAAATAAAAAAATAATAATAATATAAAAATTACTGCACATATGTATGTAGGTACATACATACATATATGGCATAAAAAAAGAGGTATGGTAGGTGCAGTTCGAAAAAAGTGTTGAGTTTCCCCTGTGAATCGTAGAATATTGACCTGAAAATCGATCAATTAATAATGCAAATCCTTTATGGTCAGTTACCAGGAACAGTCGCCGTTAATTAAAGCACTTGTCCGTACTATCCTGAAATAGCCTTAACGTCGCCCTTCACCGTATCTGCCGGGTGCTATGATTAATGTTCAATTAAGTTTGCAACATTCACAAAAATGAAAAAAAAAAAATCATCACAGAATCGGCAGCCACGGCAAAGGATTACATCATATTTAATCACAGTCATTATTTATAATGATATCGCTCGCATGAGGCATTATAGTCAGTGCCTCGAAAATATGCCTGCCACAAGTTATCAAAAGCTCCAAGTAAGAGCTCCATTTTATATAAGCTTCATAAAGTGAATTTTATGAGAGTCCCTAAAGGGATTCCGCAAATTGATTTTGGCTGCATTTCGAATAAGTTTGGCACTTTGCAGCGTAATCTCTTAAGCGTGTACTTATTTGTTTTTAAAAACTAAAATTTCAAAGCTATTATCAAATTCATCAAATTTAAATACCCATTTGATGTAAAACATTCCCACAATTTTTATGCAAATGCTTCGGATGTCATTAAAATATTTTGATCCAATGGTAGCCAATACAGATCACGGCTGTTCATAAATTTGGAATTACTCGCAGTGTAACAATGTTTATTGTAATTAATTAACAATGTTTATTGTTTGCACAATATGCAAGAGTTGCATTGCAGTGGCCATTATGTTTTCGTTGTTTTCGTAACTCTTATTATTTCTGCTACAGCATGTACTATAGTAGTTCAGATGCTTGTGGCCGCTCTGCCTGACTGACACTCAATTTTCAGTTGAACTTCAACTGTTGGAATATTTTACAACACATATTTGCAGCGCACATTATGAATTTAAATTAAATTATTTTGTTTTGCCTGCACTATTTTGAGTGCTTTGATTCGGACAGCCATCAAGGAACGTTCTTGGTTCAATGCATAATCTGTTAATTGGTAATTGTAAACCATTAGTTAACTAACATGCAGAGTTGAGAAACCTGGGGCAAGATTCCCTTAATTACAAGTACAATGACTGAGGTGGCTCAAAACCTAAGTTATTGTTAGCTTTTGATGAATGGAAATCCACAACACGACCGATTAAATTGAGGATAATGGTCGATGAAAATGTATAAAGATATTTGGTTTCAGATTGGAGTAATTGAGATATGGGTTTTGATTCTTTAACGATAGATTATAAAACTACTTGCTTAGAAATCAATCCAATAATCTTTTTTTTGTCAGTCAAATACTGTTTTGGATATCTTTAATCAAAATTGCAAACATCTATTTTGGGCAATCGAGAAATTATGGCAGATATACACGAGCTGATTGTGACGTGCATAATTTTTTTGTACCAGGTGTATTTGCTTTTTGTAAGTATTTTTACATAATATATGAGACTTGAAAGTTTGTTAAATAATTAAATTGCCTCAGCGATCCATTCACCCTCTCAAAAAGGATGCCATGCTGCTTATTTTTCACAATATTATGCTGTACTATGTGATCAATATGTTTAAACATCTGGCTCAAGGTGGGTTCCTTTTAAAGATTTTGTAAGATATTTATTTATTTAGTTTTATTTTCAGATACTATTAACTCTCCTGGTCCTGTAAACACGTTCTACTATTTACCTCTGGTGTATGAGGAGCCTGCAGGTTCGGAATCAAATCACAGTTGGCATGAAATTCTCAGGTCTTCCAGCTGGCTCTTTTTCGAGTCCCTGTTCCGCCATCATTTGGCCCTGTTGTTGCCGATTAATTTGGCCCTCCTGGTTCCCGTAAGAGATTCGCTTTGTCCTGTGGCCCCTAATTGCTCCCTCTACTCCTCTTTCAGGAGTAATTGTGATATTGTGGATGTTGTTGCTGTTGCTGCCGCTGCTGCTCGTTGTGCGTGTTAAATGGCAACTACTCTGGCTGCTAGTGATAATCACTCGACGCTTTCTGCTCCTGTCGATTTCTACTTAGTTTAAGCTGCTTCGTGTTTGGCTTTTATCTTCATTTTAGCTCTTTGTCAGCAGCTTAATCAGAAAGGTTTTCAAAGCTTTGATTTAATTGAATGTTGCTTTAATAACCTGAGAATTAGAAAATTTAAACTTTTCGAAAATGCAACAATGCATAGCAAAGGGCTCTTAATTTGTATAAGCTCATTTTAATTTTTGTTTTTTTTTTAATTGAAGTAACTTGCCTCTGTAAACATGATGCAGCTGCAAAAGCATGCAATCCCTTATTTCTAGCCCCCTCATTTTGATATTCAGCAGATAATTCCTACTATCGCACTCCTTTTTTCAGAAAAACTTATACGGCTTTGATACGACTTTATACGGATCTTTTTTACCTTTAACGGATCATCGCTAAACTATGGACAAGAGAATCTTCGACGATTACTTGAACTCGGTGGGTTCTGACGAGAGCATCCTGTTCGTGATCGAGCCCTCCACTGAAGGTATGCTGACAGGGAAGTCTTGCAAGGCCAAGAAAAAGCCTACATGTGCCCGGAAACAGAAGAAGTGCTCGAAGCCTAAGAAGACGTGCAAGTCAAAACCTAAGAAAACCTGCAAGCCCGGTCCTATTATGAATAATGGATACTTTAACTTCGTGCGTGCCTACCGGGAAAAACACAGTTCCATGAAGCCACAGGAACTGATTAGAAGGGCGGCCAGAGCCTGGTGCCGTTTATCCGAGGAAAAAAAAAATATATACCGGCGCATGGTGAGTTTTTTGCATTATGTTATTTACTATCCTGTAACTAATCTTCTGAAATCCCGCAGGCTTGCAAAGTTACAACTAGTGAAAGACATAAAAGACGCAAAGTGTGCAACCCTGAGAAATGCGAGAAATATTAGGTGGCTCATCTAAGTCTTCTTCAATCAATCACCGTCTTCTGGCCCCTGCTAATTTTGATGTGCTATTGGTGGCTCATCTAAGTCGTCTTCAATCAATCCCTGTCTTCTGCCCTCGGCTAATTTTGATCTGAAAAATTAAGGTTTAGGTTTCCAAAACAGTCTATGGTATATTATTAATAAAGCATAAATTATTTTTTCGGCCTAATAAAGTTTTTATAATGGGAGGAAAGGGGATCAACCAAAATATACGCAAGAGCATGCTTTATGATGCTATTAATCGGACAGAGATAATTTCAGTTCCTATTGTATTTAAGAGAGAACTGCTAATAAGCGCCTGCTAGTCTTAGTTTTAGATTTTTAGTTTTAGATTTAAGTTTCTATTCTATTTTTAAAATGGACGGTCGTGTTATTATAGCTTTGCTTTACGTTCTGATTACTTGCAGTCTGACTTCTGCATGAATTATATGTGAGTTGATTTATTTTGAAGAGTTTTTGAAAAATTAAAATAAATTCTTCTATAAAGGGACCAATAAGTGGCCTAAAACAGATGACTTCATAGACCATGTTGAAAGAAAAATAGGATTAGTCTATGGGAGTATTTTTTAACAAATCACCAAGAAAAATGTGTTCATCCCAAGGGTTATGATCTGAAAATTAAAGCGTAGGTTTCCAAACAGTCCGTAATATCAATACAGCAAAAATTCACTTTCGGTCAATTTAAGTTTTGATAATGGGAGAAAAGGGTAGAAAAAAATATTCGCAAGAGCATGCTCGATGTTTCTCTTATTCGGACAGAGATTATTTAATTATTATAATAGTACTTCGCATACCGCCGCGGATAGCAAGCTAATCAGTCTTTATTATTCTGCTAAAATGAAAGGTAGTGTTATTGTAGCTCTGCTGTTCGTTTTGAGTGCTTCGACTCTAAAAGTGGGAGATGGCGATAGGAATAGTGGATTTTTAAAGAAATGAAAGTTCATTTATTCACAAAACTCTATGTCAAAAAGCCATCAGGCATTCCTTAAATTGGACAAGGAGTTCGACAAATGCTGCCAATCCAGAAAGACATCCAACAAGTTCGACGACTGTGCTTCTTGTTTAATTAAATGTAAAAAGTCTGACAATTCAAATAAGTCGCGTCTGGTATATTCTTCCCCCTGTGGATCAAACTAACAATCCCGTACCCCGTTAAATTTATATCAACATTAAACATCAAAGATCCAGTCACTAATAATCCAAGTTACTACAAACACATAAAAGTAAATTGACTCGTAATCGCCGGCATGGTCAGAAAAAATCAATAATTTTAATTTAACTTAGATTTTGTTATTCTTTTAATAAATTTTGTATATTATCGGAGAGAAATGGTAATTTTTTCAAAAATTCCGATGGCAATATATTCAGAAGATCGTATTTGATGTATAGCATATATGTGGTGTCTAATCGGACATATGTACACAGATTATTAAAGCTCTTATTGAGTTTTAAGAGCAGACTTCTGATAATATAATATTACCGTCACTTAAAAATATCAGTTTTGAGTAGGGAACTGCTTCAAAATTATGAGGAAATATAAATTATGGATATGTTGATTTTAAAAATAGAGCCAATAACGCGTGAACAGGTCGGACAAGTGGCACTCGTTGTTTGGTGTACATTTAGATACATTTGTATCTCGTGGCTCGCTGCGCGTAGCACGTGTATCTTTTTATGCAGCTGTACAAGCCCATGGACTAAATTCAATTTATTATTCCACTATATGAGCTTTCGCACTTAACTTGCATGAATATATAATGAGGTCTCCGCTATGGAAATGGAACGGGTAACTGCTAACGCTGAACGCTAAATGGGAAAGGTAATGCGGAGGAAGTAAGGGGTGAACGGGGCAGACTGGGGCTGATTGGGGCGGAAAGGTATCGCAAGATTGCGTGTTCAAAGCTTGCCAACAACCATCTGACCCGGCGCCTGTTGTGAAACGGCTAAATTGAATTATTAATAACACGCAACGCTCGCACTGAAGTGGATGCTATATCTGCAAATGTGTATAATGCATATTGTGGTTTTGCGGAGACATCCTTGGGACAGTTGGCAAGGAAGAAAGTATAGCCATTTGGTTTCAGATTGGAGTAATTGAGATATGGGTTTGTTTCTTTAACGATAGATTATAAAACTACTTGCTTAGAAATCAATCCAATAATCTTTTTATTGTCAGTCAAATACTGTTTTGGATATCTTTAATCAAAATTGCAAACATCTATTTTGGGCAATCGAGAAATTATGGCAGATATACACGAGCTAATTGTGAAGTGCATAATTTTTTTGTACCAGGTGTATTTGCTTTTGTAAGTATTTTTACGTAATATATGAGACTTGAAAGTTTGTTAAATATTTAAATTTCCTCAGCGATCCATTTACCCTCTCAAAAAGGATGCCATGCTGCTTATTTTTCACAATATTATGCTGTACTATGTGATCAATATGTTTAAACATCTGGCTCAAGGTGGGTTCCTTTTAAAGATTTTGTAAGATATTTATTTATTTAGTTTTATTTTCAGATACTATTAACTCTCCTGGTCCTGTAAACACGTTCTACTATTTACCTCTGGTGTATGAGGAGCCTGCAGGTTCGGAATCAAATCACAGTTGGCATGAAATTCTCAGGTCTCTCAGCTGGCTCTTTTTCGAGTCCCTGTTCCGCCATCATTTGGCCCTGTTGTTGCCGATTAATTTGGCCCTCCTGGTTCCCGTAAGAGATTCGCTTTGTCCTGTGGCCCCTAAGTGCTCCCTCTACTCCTCTTTCAGCGCTGCAAGTTGGGCTTCATTAGCTCTTTGGTGCTATTGTCTAACCTGGTGATGTTCGGATGCTTCGCTACAGCCATCTGCCAGCTGGTGATTTTTACCAACCATGCTGCCAGCCTGCGCCTCCTCACGATTCTGTGCCTGGGTCCCATGTGTCAAATGCTCCTGGTGATGCGCCTCCTGGTCCGCAATTTGGGTAAGTTCCCGCCACTGGATGGATCACCTGAGATGTGGACTTAGCCTCTAATTTTTGGTTTCTCTAGTTCAGTATGTGGATTGTTGTTTGAGGCGCAGAAATTCGTACCTCAGCCGTCATAATCAGTATCCGTAGCCCGAAGTTAGTAGCTGCAATCAAAGCAATTAACCAACCAAAGCAACCGGCTCTTTCACTGGGAAACGCAACCGAAAATCACTTTCACTCCGCAAACTGCCAAACTGCAGGCATTTATGACAGCCCAGCAGAAAGGGGGGCTGGCCGGCGATCTCCTGGAACGTGTTTGGCACAAGGGCCAAAATCGCATAACAAAATTGTTGCTGAAAAGTTGAACAAATATTGAGGTCAGCAGAATGTCGAGTAGAGTCTCGAGCGGGCAGCATTGTTGCTGGTGCAAACTGTTTGCTAGCCTTTGGCACAAACTTCTTACACGCTCCCCGGCCCCGACGCCAGTCGGACTCGGATCCGGATCCGGAGTCTTTGCCGTGGCCGTTGTCGTCGTCGTAGCCGTGACTCTGAGTCCAGAGTTGAGCTGGGGGGAGAGGCCTCCGCAGAGGCTCGCCCTGAACGAAAAATATTCATATTCAAATATTTGTCAATAATACAAAATGGAAAAAATGAGTTGTTGCTGTTCGAGTTTGCATGGTGCAATGCAGACGTCGACGCAGCCCGGGGGTCCGGTTCCGATGCCGTCTGTCCCGACAGCCCACTACCATACCCTGAGTCCCGAACCTACAACCCTGCACCAACATCCCCAAAGCCCCAAAACCCGACACCTTCAGGCGTGCCAGCTGCCTTCGCCTCGAATTGAGAAACTGCCGCAAATGCTTTTCGATTTTTCGTTTTGCCACGGACAAGCCTTGGCTTTTCATATTGCATAATTGATTGGGGGTGCTGGGGCCGGAGTGTGTGAGTTTGGAGGTGTGGGCTGATTAAATACCAAGCAGACGGCATTGTCACTCCCCCTGGCGGCACAGGCCCACTCCGCCAGAATTTATGCACATTTTCAATATGCATTCAGATGCCATTCCCCATGCATTAATTGCCGCATTGGGCCGGAAAAGAGCATTGCCAAGTTGTGTGTTATATTTACGTTTTCCTTGGTAATAATTAAATTTCAGGATCTTAAAAGCGATATTCGCAAAAAATGCAACAAGTAGGATTTTAGTCTTGAATCGACATAAACCAAATTATAAAAGCATTAAGAAGGAATCAGGAACTTTAAGCTGGAAACACTTTTCTTGTTAAAACACTATAACCAACAAATGAACTTAAATAAAATATGATACTTTGTATTTCTCTGGTAGCTTCCTCTGATAAATTATTCTTCTTAATCTCATACCTAGTTTCTTGCATACTAATAACCCATCCTGAAAGGATGTTCCCTAAGAAGTTTTTTTCCTCCATTGCACTTCGGTGCACCTATTCATATAGTTAGTTTACCCTCTTGGAATGATGTACTAGAGCTCGGAGAGCCCTCGACGAATCTCAAGTCGAGATATGGCCACACAGTAACCTAACGAGCCACAGGCATCTTCGGGCCCCATCCTTGTGACTATATAGTAATGAGCAACGGTACGGGTCCTCGTTTCTCTAAGCATGAGACATTTAATTTTAAGCCACCCCACATGCACACGCACAGTGCCACATACATAATTGTGTGTTCACGTAAGAGATATGGTAGCTGAAAGAGCTATATCAACTGGAGAGTCTTGGGGCAGGGAAGCCGGGCCGAGCCGGGCCGGGGCGTGCCGGGCATGGCTTGCCTTAAATTAAGATAATGACACGTGAGGTATCGCCTCCCGGGGCTTGGAGTGCTTGGTAAATTGCGATAACATAGAAACGACCTGAATGGCGGCTCACTTTAAAACACTTAACCCTTGACGCCCAAGCCAACCACCAGCACGCCCAACCACCATCCCCCTCTACCCATCGAATCCTTAATCCAACGACCCACTAAGGCGATTGCACGCACTTTTAAAGCGCAACTTGATGGAAAACTGCCAAAGAGTTTGACTTCCTTGTTGGCGGATGGGGCCCTAAAGTAGGACATGCCAATGTGCAAGAAAGGTACACTTTGTGGCAAACTGGGAGAGAGCTACTTACTTCGGAGGACAAAAAAAAATTGTTTATCGAGCGAATTTTTATTAATAAATAGTAAAGACTGAAAAGTCTTGGTGCCGGTGCCAGGCATTTTAATTTATTTATTAATAAATAGTAAAGACTGAAAAGTCTGAAGCACATTGGTGCCAGTGCCAGGCATTCATCTCAGCTTCAACCAGGGAAAAATATTTGCTTCTAAAAAAAAATCGGTATATATCTAAATTTAATTTACAATTTCAATCGTAGTACGGATCGCGTGAGTTTACATATCTCGTCCGGTTAGCGAATTTGCAAAAGCCAATGAACGGTTCCCCCAAAAAATAATCCTTTCTTTGGGATTTGATCGGTCAAAATTTATATTCAGTACACTTTTAAACGTTGAGAAAGCAGTTCCTAAATTAATAGTGAAAAAAAAATGTTTATCGAGAGAAATTTTATTAATAAATAGTAAAGAGTGAAAAGTCTTGGTGCCGGTGCCAGGCATTCATCCCAGCTTTCAACTAGGAATCATTTTTGCATCTAAAAAAAAAATAGGTATAAATCTAAATTTAATTTAAATTTTTAATCGTAGTTCGGATCGGTACAAATTTAAATTTTATTTAAATTTTCAATCGTTGTTTGTATCGGTATAAATCAAAATTTTATTTAAATTTTCAATCGTAGTTCAGATCGGTATAAATCAAAATTTTATTTAAATTTTCAATCGTTATTCGGATCGGTATAAATTTAAATTTTTTATTTTCAATCGTAGTACGGATCGCGTGAGTTTACATATCTTGTTGGGGTTAGCGAGTTGGCCAAAGCCAATGTACGGTTGCAAAGCATGTTGAGTGAAAGTGTTAGAAGCTTCCTTGGGCAACGCCCTTGGACCGGGCCGCGAGCTTGTCTAGATGTCGGATGGTATTGCCCGCCTATCTAGCCTTAAACTAATGCTGAGGGCAGCCTGACGACAGGCGAGCACCACCTTACCACGCCTCCGCCTATTAATGGTGTCATTTACATGCTGCAGCCACATGCAGTTACCAGCGAAGGGCGACGATAAATCATACCGCGATTTTTGTTTCCATCGGAGAAAAGTCGGTAGTTAATCGGTGCTCTTAGTTTTCTTTTGCCGTCGAAATCGTAAATAAATTATACGCCCTGATTGATCAACTTTTCCCCGATGACAACCATAAAGGGGATAGCAAGCGGGGACGCTGCACTGTCATTGTGGCCGAAAATGTCGAGGCAGCCGCTCGTAAACATAAATCCAAGTGACGCTAATTGTTTGTTGCAATTACTGCTGCAGTTGTTGCCACCGTTCAGTTACGTGTGCAGCCAGCATCGAGGCGACAGGACCTGAAAGGGTCGATGTGGCAGGAAGAGGGGTTGTGTTTGCATGCAAATTTTGTTGCATCTGCAGTTGCTGCTGATGCTTTCGCTGTTGATGCTTCTGCTGCTGCTGCTGCAACGGCAAACAATTACTCAAACATTGTTGCAACTGCTGCTGATATTGTGGATGTTGTTGCTGTTGCTGCCGCTGCTGCTCGTTGTGCGTGTTAAATGGCAACTACTCTGGCTGCTAGTGATAATCACTCGACGCTTTCTGCTCCTGTCGATTTCTACTTAGTTTAAGCTGCTTCGTGTTTGGCTTTTATCTTCATTTTAGCTCTTTGTCAGCAGCTTAATCAGAAAGGTTTTTAAAGCTTTGATTTAATTGAATGTTGCTTTAGTAACCTGAGAATTAGAAAATTTAAACTTTTCGAAAATGCAACAATGCATAGCAAAGGGCTCTTAATTTGTATAAGCTCATTTTAATTTTTGTTTTTTTTTTAATTGAAGTAACTTGCCTCTGTAAACATGATGCAGCTGCAAAAGCATGCAATCCCTTATTTCTAGCCCCCTCATTTTGATATTCAGCAGATAATTCCTACTATCGCACTCTTTTTTTCAGAAAAACTTATACGGCTTTGATACGACTTTATACGGATCTTTTTTACCTTTAACGGATCATCGCTAAACTATGGACAAGAGAATCTTCGACGATTACTTGAACTCGGTGGGATCTGACGAGAGCATCCTGTCCGTGATCGAGCCCTCCACTGAAGGTATGCTGACAGGGAAGTCTTGCAAGGCCAAGAAAAAGCCTACATGTGCCCGGAAACAGAAGAAGTGCTCGAAGCCTAAGAAGACGTGCAAGTCAAAACCTAAGAAAACCTGCAAGCCCGGTCCTATTATGAATAATGGATACTTTAACTTCGTGCGTGCCTACCGGGAAAAACACAGTTCCATGAAGCCACAGGAACTGATTAGAAGGGCGGACAGAGCCTGGTGCCGTTTATCCGAGGAAAAAAAATATATATACCGGCGCATGGTGAGTTTTTTGCATTATGTTATTTACTATCCTGTAACTAATCTTCTGAAATCCCGCAGGCTTGCAAAGTTACAACTAGTGAAAGACATAAAAGACGCAAAGTGTGCAATCCTGAAAAATGCGAGAAATATTAGGTGGCTCATCTAAGTCTTCTTCAATCAATCCCCGTCTTCTGGCCCCTGCTAATTTTGACGTGCTATTGGTGGCTCATCTAAGTCGTCTTCAATCAATCCCTGTCTTCTGCCCTCGGCTAATTTTGATCTGAAAAATTAAGGTTTAGGTTTCCAAAACAGTCTATGGTATATTATTAATAAAGCATAAATTATTTTTCGGCCTAATAAAGTTTTTATAATGGGAGGAAAGGGGATCAACCAAAATATACGCAAGAGCATGCTTTATGATGCTATTAATCGGACAGAGATAATTTCAGTTCCTATTGTATTTAAGAGAGAACTGCTAATAAGCGCCTGCTAGTCTTAGTTTTAGATTTTTAGTTTTAGATTTCAGTTTCTATTCTATTTTTAAAATGGAAGGTCGTGTTATTATAGCTTTGCTTTACGTTCTGATTACTTGCAGTCTGACTTCTGCATGAATTATATGTGAGTTGATTTATTTTGAAGAGTTTTTGAAAAATTAAAATCAATTCTTCTATAAAGGGATCAATCAGTGGCCTAAAACAGATGACTTCATGGACCATGTTGGAAGAAAAATAGGATTAGTCTATGGGAGTATTTTTTAACAAATCACCAAGAAAAATGTGTTCATCCCAAGGGTTATGATCTGAAAATTAAAGCGTAGGTTTCCAAACAGTCCGTAATATCAATACAGCAAAAATTCACTTTCGGTCAATTTAAGTTTTGATAATGGGAGAAAAGGGTAGAAAAAAATATTCGCAAGAGCATGCTCGATGTTTCTCTTATTCGGACAGAGATTATTTAATTATTATAATAGTACCACGCATACCGCCGCGAAAGCAAGCTAATCAGTCTTTATTATTCTGCTAAAATGAAAGGTAGTGTTATTGTAGCACTGCTGTTCGTTTTGAGTTCTTCGAGTCTAAAAGTGGGAGATGGCGATAGGAATAGCGGATTTTTAAAGGAATGAAAGTTCATTTATTCACAAAACTCTATGTCAAAAAGCCATCAGGCATTCCTTAAATTGGACAAGGAGTTCGACAAATGCTGCCAATCCAGAAAGACATCCAACAAGTTCGACGACTGTGCTTCTTGTTTAATTAAATGTAAAAAGTCTGACAATTCAAATAAGTCGCGTCTGGTATATTCTTCCCCCTGTGGATCAAACTAACAATCCCGTACCCCGTTAAATTTATATCAACATTAAACATCAAAGATCCAGTCACTAATAATCCAAGTTACTACAAACACATAAAAGTAAATTGACTCGTAATCGCCGGCATGGTCAGAAAAAATCAATAATTTTAATTTAACTTAGATTTTGTTATTCTTTTAATAAATTTTGTATATTATCGGAGAGAAATGGTAATTTTTTTCAAAAATTCCGATGGCAATATATTCAGAAGATCGTATTTGATGTATAGCATATATGTGGTGTCTAATCGGACATATGTACACAGATTATTAAAGCTCTTATTGAGTTTTAAGAGCAGACTTCTGATAATATAATATTACCGTCACTTAAAAATATCAGTTTTGAGTAGGGAACTGCTTCAAAATTATGAGGAAATATAAATTATGGATATGTTGATTTTAAAAATAGAGCCAATAACGCGTGAACAGGTCGGACAAGTGGCACTCGTTGTTTGGTGTACATTTAGATACATTTGTATCTCGTGGCTCGCTGCGCGTAGCACGTGTATCTTTTTATGCAGCTGTACAAGCCCATGGACTAAATTCAATTTATTATTCCACTATATGAGCTTTCGCACTTAACTTGCATGAATATATAATGAGGTCTCCGCTATGGAAATGGAACGGGTAACTGCTAACGCTGAACGCTAAATGGGAAAGGTAATGCGGAGGAAGTAAGGGGTGAACGGGGCAGACTGAGGCTGATTGGGGCGGAAAGGTATCGCAAGATTGCGTGTTCGAAGCTTGCCAACAACCATCTGACCCGGCGCCTGTTGTGAAACGGCTAAATTGAATTATTAATAACACGCAACGCTCGCACTGAAGTGGATGCTATATCTGCAAATGTGTATAATGCATATTGTGGTTTTGCGGAGACATCCTTGGGACAGTTGGCAAGGAAGAAAGTATAGCCATTTGGTTTCAGATTGGAGTAATTGAGATATGGGTTTGTTTCTTTAACGATAGATTATAAAACTACTTGCTTAGAAATCAATCCAATAATCTTTTTATTGTCAGTCAAATACTGTTTTGGATATCTTTAATCAAAATTGCAAACATCTATTTTGGGCAATCGAGAAATTATGGCAGATATACACGAGCTAATTGTGAAGTGCATAATTTTTTTGTACCAGGTGTATTTGCTTTTTGTAAGTATTTTTACGTAATATATGAGACTTGAAAGTTTGTTAAATATTTAAATTTCCTCAGCGATCCATTCACCCTCTCAAAAAGGATGCCATGCTGCTTATTTTTCACAATATTATGCTGTACTATGTGATCAATATGTTTAAACATCTGGCTCAAGGTGGGTTCCTTTTAAAGATTTTGTAAGATATTTATTTATTTAGTTTTATTTTCAGATACTATTAACTCTCCTGGTCCTGTAAACACGTTCTACTATTTACCTCTGGTGTATGAGGAGCCTGCAGGTTCGGAATCAAATCACAGTTGGCATGAAATTCTCAGGTCTTCCAGCTGGCTCTTTTTCGAGTCCCTGTTCCGCCATCATTTGGCCCTGTTGTTGCCGATTAATTTGGCCCTCCTGGTTCCCGTAAGAGATTCGCTTTGTCCTGTGGCCCCTAAGTGCTCCCTCTACTCCTCTTTCAGCGCTGCAAGTTGGGCTTCATTAGCTCTTTGGTGCTATTGTCTAACCTGGTGATGTTCGGATGCTTCGCTACAGCCATCTGCCAGCTGGTGATTTTTACCAACCATGCTGCCAGCCTGCGCCTCCTCACGATTCTGTGCCTGGGTCCCATGTGTCAAATGCTCCTGGTGATGCGCCTCCTGGTCCGCATTTGGGTAAGTTCCCGCCACTGGATGGATCACCTGAGATGTGGCCTTAGCCTCTAATTTTTGGTTTCTCTAGTTCAGTATGTGGATTGTTGTTTGAGGCGCAGAAATTCGTACCTCAGCCGTCATAATCAGTATCCGTAGCCCGAAGTTAGTAGCTGCAATCAAAGCAATAAACCAACCAAAGCAACCGGCTCTTTCACTGGGAAACGCCACCGAAAATCACTTTTACTCCGCAAACTGCCAAACTGCAGGCATTTATGACAGCCCAGCAGAAAGGGGGGCTGGCCGGCGATCTCCTGGAACGTGTTTGGCACAAGGGCCAAAATCGCATAACAAAATTGTTGCTGAAAAGTTGAACAAATATTGAGGTCAGCAGAATGTCGAGTAGAGTCTCGAGCGGGCAGCATTGTTGCTGGTGCAAACTGTTTGCTAGCCTTTGGCACAAACTTCTTACACGCTCCCCGGCCCCGACGCCAGTCGGACTCGGATCCGGATCCGGAGCCTTTGCCGTGGCCGTTGTCGTCGTCGTAGCCGTGACTCTGAGTCCAGAGTTGAGCTGGGGGAGAGGCCTCCGCAGAGGCTCGCCCTGAACGAAAATATTCATATTCAAATATTTGTCAATAATACAAAATGGAAAAAATGAGTTGTTGCTGTTCGAGTTTGCATGGTGCAATGCAGACGTCGACGCAGCCCGGGGGTCCGGTTCCGATGCCGTCTGTCCCGACAGCCCACTACCATACCCTGAGTCCCGAACCTACAACCCCTGCACCAACATCCCCAAAGCCCCAAAACCCGACACCTTCAGGCGTGCCAGCTGCCTTCGCCTCGAATTGAGAAACTGCCGCAAATGCTTTTCGATTTTTCGTTTTGCCACGGACAAGCCTTGGCTTTTCATATTGCATAATTGATTGGGGGTGCTGGGGGCGGAGTGTGTGAGTTTGGAGGTGTGGGCTGATTAAATACCAAGCAGACGGCATTGTCACTCCCCCTGGCGGCACAGGCCCACTCCGCCAGAATTTATGCACATTTTCAATATGCATTCAGATGCCATTCCCCATGCATTGATTGCCGCATTGGGCCGGAAAAGAGCATTGCCAAGTTGTGTGTTATATTTACGTTTTCCTTGGTAATAATTAAATTTCAGGATCTTAAAAGCGATATTCGCAAAAAATGCAACAAGTAGGATTTTAGTCTTGAATCGACATAAACCAAATTATAAAAGCATTAAGAAGGAATCAGGAACTTTAAGCTGGAAACACTTTTCTTGTTAAAACACTATAACCAACAAATGAACTTAAATAAAATATGATACTTTGTATTTCTCTGGTAGCTTCCTCTGATAAATTATTCTTCTTAATCTCATACCTAGTTTCTTGCATACTAATAACCCATCCTGAAAGGATGTTCCCTAAGAAGTTTTTTTCCTCCATTGCACTTCGGGGCACCTATTCATATAGTTAGTTTACCCTCTTGGAATGATGTACTAGAGCTCGGAGAGCCCTCGACGAATCTCAAGTCGAGATATGGCCACACAGTAACCTAACGAGCCACAGGCATCTTCGGGCCCCATCCTTGTGACTATATAGTAATGAGCAACGGTACGGGTCCTCGTTTCTCTAAGCATGAGACATTTAATTTTAAGCCACCCCACATGCACACGCACAGTGCCACATACATAATTGTGTGTTCACGTAAGAGATATGGTAGCTGAAAGAGCTATATCAACTGGAGAGTCTTGGGGCAGGGAAGCCGGGCCGAGCCGGGCCGGGGCGTGCCGGGCATGGCTTGCCTTAAATTAAGATAATGACACGTGAGGTATCGCCTCCCGGGGCTTGGAGTGCTTGGTAAATTGCGATAACATAGAAACGACCTGAATGGCGGCTCACTTTAAAACACTTAACCCTTGACGCCCAAGCCAACCACCAGCACGCCCAACCACCATCCCCCTCTACCCATCGAATCCTTAATCCAACGACCCACTAAGGCGATTGCACGCACTTTTAAAGCGCAACTTGATGGAAAACTGCCAAAGAGTTTGACTTCCTTGTTGGCGGATGGGGTTCGAAGCTTGCCAACAACCATCTGACCCGGCGCCTGTTGTGAAACGGCTAAATTGAATTATTAATAACACGCAACGCTCGCACTGAAGTGGATGCTATATCTGCAAATGTGTATAATGCATATTGTGGTTTTGCGGAGACATCCTTGGGACAGTTGGCAAGGAAGAAAGTATAGCCATTTGGTTTCTGATTGGAGTAATGTAGATATGGGTTTGTTTCTTTAACGATAGATTATAAAACTACTTGCTTAGAAATCAATCCAATAATCTTTTTATTGTCAGTCAAATACTGTTTTGGATATCTTTAATCAAAATTGCAAACATCTATTTTGGGCAATCGAGAAATTATGGCAGATATACACGAGCTAATTGTGAAGTGCATAATTTTTTTGTACCAGGTGTATTTGCTTTTTGTAAGTATTTTTACGTAATATATGAGACTTGAAAGTTTGTTAAATATTTAAATTTCCTCAAGCGATCCATTCACCCTCTCAAAAAGGATGCCATGCTGCTTATTTTTCACAATATTATGCTGTACTATGTGATCAATATGTTTAAACATCTGGCTCAAGGTGGGTTCCTTTTAAAGATTTTGTAAGATATTTATTTATTTAGTTTTATTTTCAGATACTATTAACTCTCCTGGTCCTGTAAACACGTTCTACTATTTACCTCTGGTGTATGAGGAGCCTGCAGGTTCGGAATCAAATCACAGTTGGCATGAAATTCTCAGGTCTTCCAGCTGGCTCTTTTTCGAGTCCCTGTTCCGCCATCATTTGGCCCTGTTGTTGCCGATTAATTTGGCCCTCCTGGTTCCCGTAAGAGATTCGCTTTGTCCTGTGGCCCCTAAGTGCTCCCTCTACTCCTCTTTCAGCGCTGCAAGTTGGGCTTCATTAGCTCTTTGGTGCTATTGTCTAACCTGGTGATGTTCGGATGCTTCGCTACAGCCATCTGCCAGCTGGTGATTTTTACCAACCATGCTGCCAGCCTGCGCCTCCTCACGATTCTGTGCCTGGGTCCCATGTGTCAAATGCTCCTGGTGATGCGCCTCCTGGTCCGCATTTGGGTAAGTTCCCGCCACTGGATGGATCACCTGAGATGTGGCCTTAGCCTCTAATTTTTGGTTTCTCTAGTTCAGTATGTGGATTGTTGTTTGAGGCGCAGAAATTCGTACCTCAGCCGTCATAATCAGTATCCGTAGCCCGAAGTTAGTAGCTGCAATCAAAGCAATAAACCAACCAAAGCAACCGGCTCTTTCACTGGGAAACGCAACCGAAAATCACTTTCACTCCGCAAACTGCCAAACTGCAGGCATTTATGACAGCCCAGCAGAAAGGGGGGCTGGCCGGCGATCTCCTGGAACTTGTTTGGCACAAGGGCCAAAATCGCATAACAAAATTGTTGCTGAAAAGTTGAACAAATATTGAGGTCAGCAGAATGTCGAGTAGAGTCTCGAGCGGGCAGCATTGTTGCTGGTGCAAACTGTTTGCTAGCCTTTGGCACAAACTTCTTACACGCTCCCCGGCCCCGACGCCAGTCGGACTCGGATCCGGATCCGGAGCCTTTGCCGTGGCCGTTGTCGTCGTCGTAGCCGTGACTCTGAGTCCAGAGTTGAGCTGGGGGGAGAGGCCTCCGCAGAGGCTCGCCCTGAACGAAAAATATTCATATTCAAATATTTGTCAATAATACAAAATGGAAAAAATGAGTTGTTGCTGTTCGAGTTTGCATGGTGCAATGCAGACGTCGACGCAGCCCGGGGGTCCGGTTCCGATGCCGTCTGTCCCGACAGCCCACTACCATACCCTGAGTCCCGAACCTACAACCCTGCACCAACATCCCCATAGCCCCAAAACCCGACACCTTCAGGCGTGCCAGCTGCCTTCGCCTCGAATTGAGAAACTGCCGCAAATGCTTTTCGATTTTTCGTTTTGCCACGGACAAGCCTTGGCTTTTCATATTGCATAATTGATTGGGGGTGCTGGGGGCGGAGTGTGAGTTTGGAGGTGTGGGCTGATTAAATACCAAGCAGACGGCATTGTCACTCCCCCTGGCGGCACAGGCCCACTCCGCCAGAATTTATGCACATTTTCAATATGCATTCAGATGCCATTCCCCATGCATTGATTGCCGCATTGGGCCGGAAAAGAGCATTGCCAAGTTGTGTGTTATATTTACGTTTTCCTTGGTAATAATTAAATTTCAGGATCTTAAAAGCGATATTCGCAAAAAATGCAACAAGTAGGATTTTAGTCTTGAATCGACATAAACCAAATTATAAAAGCATTAAGAAGGAATCAGGAACTTTAAGCTGGAAACACTTTTCTTGTTAAAACACTATAACCAACAAATGAACTTAAATAAAATATGATACTTTGTATTTCTCTGGTAGCTTCCTCTGATAAATTATTCTTCTTAATCTCATACCTAGTTTCTTGCATACTAATAACCCATCCTGAAAGGATGTTCCCTAAGATTTTTTTTTCCTCCATTGCACTTCGGGGCACCTATTCATATAGTTAGTTTACCCTCTTGGAATGATGTACTAGAGCTCGGAGAGCCCTCGACGAATCTCAAGTCGAGATATGGCCACACAGTAACCTAACGAGCCACAGGCATCTTCGGGCCCCATCCTTGTGACTATATAGTAATGAGCAACGGTACGGGTCCTCGTTTCTCTAAGCATGAGACATTTAATTTTAAGCCACCCCACATGCACACGCACAGTGCCACATACATAATTGTGTGTTCACGTAAGAGATATGGTAGCTGAAAGAGCTATATCAACTGGAGAGTCTTGGGGCAGGGAAGCCGGGCCGAGCCGGGCCGGGGCGTGCCGGGCATGGCTTGCCTTAAATTAAGATAATGACACGTGAGGTATCGCCTCCCGGGGCTTGGAGTGCTTGGTAAATTGCGATAACATAGAAACGACCTGAATGGCGGCTCACTTTAAAACACTTAACCCTTGACGCCCAAGCCAACCACCAGCACGCCCAACCACCATCCCCCTCTACCCATCGAATCCTTAATCCAACGACCCACTAAGGCGATTGCACGCACTTTTAAAGCGCAACTTGATGGAAAACTGCCAAAGAGTTTGACTTCCTTGTTGGCGGATGGGGCCCTAAAGTAGGACATGCCAATGTGCAAGAAAGGTACACTTTGTGGCAAACTGGGAGAGAGCTACTTACTTCGGAGGACAAAAAAAAAATTGTTTATCGAGTCAATTTTTATTAATAAATAGTAAAGACTGAAAAGTCTTGGTGCCGGTGCCAAGCATTTTAATTTATTTATTAATAAATAGTAAAGACTGAAAAGTCTGAAGCACATTGGTGCCAGTGCCAGGCATTCATCTCAGCTTCAACCAGGGAAAAATATTTGCTTCTAAAAAAAAATCGGTATATATCTAAATTTAATTTACAATTTCAATCGTAGTACGGATCGCGTGAGTTTACATATCTCGTCCGGTTAGCGAATTTGCAAAAGCCAATGAACGGTTCCCCCAAAAAATAATCCTTTCTTTGGGATTTGATCGGTCAAAATTTATATTCAGTACACTTTTAAACGTTGAGAAAGCAGTTCCTAAATTAATAGTGAAAAAAAAATGTTTATCGAGAGAAATTTTATTAATAAATAGTAAAGAGTGAAAAGTCTTGGTGCCGGTGCCAGGCATTCATCCCAGCTTTCAACTAGGAATCATTTTTGCATCTAAAAAAAAAATAGGTATAAATCTAAATTTAATTTAAATTTTTAATCGTAGTTCGGATCGGTACAAATTTAAATTTTATTTAAATTTTCAATCGTTGTTTGTATCGGTATAAATCAAAATTTTATTTAAATTTTCAATCGTAGTTCAGATCGGTATAAATCAAAATTTTATTTAAATTTTCAATCGTTATTCGGATCGGTATAAATTTAAATTTTTTATTTTCAATCGTAGTACGGATCGCGTGAGTTTACATATCTTGTTGGGGTTAGCGAGTTGGCCAAAGCCAATGTACGGTTGCAAAGCATGTTGAGTGAAAGTGTTAGAAGCTTCCTTGGGCAACGCCCTTGGACCGGGCCGCGAGCTTGTCTAGATGTCGGATGGTATTGCCCGCCTATCTAGCCTTAAACTAATGCTGAGGGCAGCCTGACGACAGGCGAGCACCACCTTACCACGCCTCCGCCTATTAATGGTGTCATTTACATGCTGCAGCCACATGCAGTTACCAGCGAAGGGCGACGATAAATCATACCGCGATTTTGTTTCCATCGGAGAAAAGTCGGTAGTTAATCGGTGCTCTTAGTTTTCTTTGCCGTCGAAATCGTAAATAAATTATACGCCCTGATTGATCAACTTTTCCCCGATGACAACCATAAAGGGGATAGCAAGCGGGGACGCTGCACTGTCATTGTGGCCGAAAATGTCGAGGCAGCCGCTCGTAAACATAAATCAAGTGACGCTAATTGTTTGTTGCAATTACTGCTGCAGTTGTTGCCACCGTTCAGTTACGTGTGCAGCCAGCATCGAGGCGACAGGACCTGAAAGGGTCGATGTGGCAGGAAGAGGGGTTGTGTTTGCATGCAAATTTTGTTGCATCTGCAGTTGCTGCTGATGCTTTCGCTGTTGATGCTTCTGCTGCTGCTGCTGCAACGGCAAACAATTACTCAAACATTGTTGCAACTGCTGCTGATATTGTGGATGTTGTTGCTGTTGCTGCCGCTGCTGCTCGTTGTGCGTGTTAAATGGCAACTACTCTGGCTGCTAGTGATAATCACTCGACGCTTTCTGCTCCTGTCGATTTCTACTTAGTTTAAGCTGCTTCGTGTTTGGCTTTTATCTTCATTTTAGCTCTTTGTCAGCAGCTTAATCAGAAAGGTTTTTAAAGCTTTGATTTAATTGAATGTTGCTTTAGTAACCTGAGAATTAGAAAATTTAAACTTTTCGAAAATGCAACAATGCATAGCAAAGGGCTCTTAATTTGTATAAGCTCATTTTAATTTTTGTTTTTTTTTTAATTGAAGTAACTTGCCTCTGTAAACATGATGCAGCTGCAAAAGCATGCAATCCCTTATTTCTAGCCCCCTCATTTTGATATTCAGCAGATAATTCCTACTATCGCACTCTTTTTTTTCAGAAAAACTTATACGGCTTTGATACGACTTTATACGGATCTTTTTTACCTTTAACGGATCATCGCTAAACTATGGACAAGAGAATCTTCGACGATTACTTGAACTCGGTGGGATCTGACGAGAGCATCCTGTCCGTGATCGAGCCCTCCACTGAAGGTATGCTGACAGGGAAGTCTTGCAAGGCCAAGAAAAAGCCTACATGTGCCCGGAAACAGAAGAAGTGCTCGAAGCCTAAGAAGACGTGCAAGTCAAAACCTAAGAAAACCTGCAAGCCCGGTCCTATTATGAATAATGGATACTTTAACTTCGTGCGTGCCTACCGGGAAAAACACAGTTCCATGAAGCCACAGGAACTGATTAGAAGGGCGGCCAGAGCCTGGTGCCGTTTATCCGAGGAAAAAAAAAATATATACCGGCGCATGGTGAGTTTTTTGCATTATGTTATTTACTATCCTGTAACTAATCTTCTGAAATCCCGCAGGCTTGCAAAGTTACAACTAGTGAAAGACATAAAAGACGCAAAGTGTGCAATCCTGAAAAATGCGAGAAATATTAGGTGGCTCATCTAAGTCTTCTTCAATCAATTCCCGTCTTCTGGCCCCTGCTAATTTTGATGTGCTATTGGTGGCTCATCTAAGTCGTCTTCAATCAATCCCTGTCTTCTGCCCTCGGCTAATTTTGATCTGAAAAATTAAGGTTTAGGTTTCCAAAACAGTCTATGGTATATTATTAATAAAGCATAAATTATTTTTTCGGCCTAATAAAGTTTTTATAATGGGAGGAAAGGGGATCAACCAAAATATACGCAAGAGCATGCTTTATGATGCTATTAATCGGACAGAGATAATTTCAGTTCCTATTGTATTTAAGAGAGAACTGCTAATAAGCGCCTGCTAGTCTTAGTTTTAGATTTTTAGTTTTAGATTTCAGTTTCTATTCTATTTTTAAAATGGAAGGTCGTGTTATTATAGCTTTGCTTTACGTTCTGATTACTTGCAGTCTGACTTCTGCATGAATTATATGTGAGTTGATTTATTTTGAAGAGTTTTTGAAAAATTAAAATCAATTCTTCTATAAAGGGACCAATCAGTGGCCTAAAACAGATGACTTCATGGACCATGTTGGAAGAAAAATAGGATTAGTCTATGGGAGTATTTTTTAACAAATCACCAAGAAAAATGTGTTCATCCCAAGGGTTATGATCTGAAAATTAAAGCGTAGGTATCCAAACAGTCCGTAATATCAATAAAGCAAAAATTCACTTTCGGTCAATTTAAGTTTTGATAATGGGAGAAAAGGGTACAAAAAAATATTCGCAAGAGCATGCTCGATGTTTCTCTTATTCGGACAGAGATTATTTAATTATTATAATAGTACTTCGCATACCGCCGCGATAGCAAGCTAATCAGTCTTTATTATTCTGCTAAAATGAAAGGTAGTGTTATTGTAGCTCTGCTGTTCGTTTTGAGTGCTTCGAGTCTAAAAGTGGGAGATGGCGATAGGAATAGCGGATTTTTAAAGGAATGAAAGTTCATTTATTCACAAAACTCTATGTCAAAAAGCCATCAGGCATTCCTTAAATTGGACAAGGAGTTCGACAAATGCTGCCAATCCAGAAAGACATCCAACAAGTTCGACGACTGTGCTTCTTGTTTAATTAAATGTAAAAAGTCTGACAATTCAAATAAGTCGCGTCTGGTATATTCTTCCCCATGTGGATCAAACTAACAATCCCGTACCCCGTTAAATTTATATCAACATTAAACATCAAAGATCCAGTCACTAATAATCCAAGTTACTACAAACACATAAAAGTAAATTGACTCGTAATCGCCGGCATGGTCAGAAAAAATCAATAATTTTAATTTAACTTAGATTTTGTTATTCTTTTAATAAATTTTGTATATTATCGGAGAGAAATGGTAATTTTTTTCAAAAATTCCGATGGCAATATATTCAGAAGATCGTATTTGATGTATAGCATATATGTGGTGTCTAATCGGACATATGTACAAAGATTATTAAAGTTCTTATTGAGTTTATTGATTTTTTATAAAATCGGGGAAATGGGTTTGGCTTGGCTGAATAAAAACACTGACGTATGCACTTGACTTGACTTGCACATTTGCGGTGGCAGAAAGCCTTGACAACTCAGTTGAAGCTGGAGCCAAAGCCAAAGCCAAATCCGAAGAAAAATAGTTATTGTTACAGCAACGAAGGCCATGCCACGAGAGAGGCAGTAAGTAGCTTTATTATAGGATTTAAAGTTATTAGACCGATGGCACGGGGTGAAAAAGGAGTGGAAAAGATTGCAAGTAGATGAGGACCAACGATGCAACGATGAGCATTCACATGTGCGGCTTCATGTATCAGGACTTGGTTCAAGTGATGGCAGGATGGCCTACAGCCAAATTTGTCAACAAGACTTGAAAAGAAATTCAATTCATCATTCTGAGTCTTTTGTGGCTAAAGCTTGAATATTAGCATTGTATGAGATCAGATCTAAACCGAGGAATCCACTTCTAACTAAATCATTTTTGTACAAAAATTCAATTATTTATAAAATTAAAAAAAAATTGTACAAAGAGAGTAATTATAGATCTGTAGACAAGTGTGATTGGCTTAATCAATTGGCTTTTTGTCGCTTTACTTACAACAGGAAAAGATTAGAAAAACTTAACCCTAAGAAACTAAACTTTAAACCTAAGAAATAAAATCAAATCCAGTGAGAATACATAAGCTTGAATAAAAGGTTGTCTCTTTCTGAAACAGAGAGAATTTTTTATATGATTAAGATGTTTTTTGAAATAAGTTGACAATCATAAAAATAGTATGATTACATGTATTGAAATTCATGCCGCAAGTCTACTGATAAGACTGTTATAACAAGCTCTCAACAAGGAAAATTTTACTTCCATCAGAATGTGAGGAGGATCATACGTATTTTGGAAGAGTGTCGAGAACTTTGCATTATCGAGAGTGTTCCCCTTCCCACTAAGTATATCAGCAAGACTCGGTCGAAATAAGAAAGACGAGATGTCAAGCTGTGCTTGACTGAATCTCCTATAAAAGGAAGATTTTCCACTGAGAGGAATAGTGTTTCATGTGCCTTCGAACAGTACGCATACCCTTACTCTTTTTTTCGAGATGAAATATTTGGTAACTATTTTTATACCCTTGCAGAGGGTATTATAATTTTGTCCAAAAGTGTGCAACGCAGTGAAGGAGACATCTCCGACCCTATAAAGTATATATATTCTTGATCAGGATCACCTCCTGAGTTGATATGAGCATGTCCGTCTGTCCGTCTGTCCGTCTGTCTGTTTCTACGCAAACTAGTCTCTCAGTTTTAAAGCTATCGACTTGAAACTTTGCACACTTTGCAAAGGAAAGAACTTTGCACGCAGTATATAAGTCGGAACGGCCCGGAACGGCCCGGATCGGCCGACTATATCCTATAGCTGCCATATAACTGATTGATCGGAAATGGTATAACTTTGGTGTTTTTAAAGAAAGAAAGCTGGAACTTGGTACAGATTATATTTTTGGTCAGTTAATCCGACCTAAATTTCATTAGGATCGGCCGACTATATCCTATAGCTGCCATATAACTGAACGATCGGAAATGACCCAACTTTCGTGTTTTTGATGATAGAAAGCACTTGGTACACATTCTATTTTTGGTCAGTTAATCCGATCAACCAAATTTCATAACGATCGGTTGACTATATCTTATAGCTGACATATAACTGAACGATCGGAAATGGTATTTGGTAGAAATATTAAGCTTGGGAAGCTTGGGACTTTTTTTTAGATTTTTTATTGTAATTAATTGGTTTTATTATGATGTAATCATAAGGATCGGCCAACTATATCCGATGTTTGCGATATATATCCGGTTTTAGCTGCTAGGGTATATCAACTTCGGCTCCGCCCAAAGTTAGCTTTGCTTTCTTGTTTTTTTTGAAAACATACGATACGATATTGCTTGTTTGCTTTCTTGAAATATTGAAATAGTTGGTAACTATTTTTTTTTTTGAAAACATACGATACGATATTGCTTTTTTGCTTTCTTTGCCATCACCATGGCTCGTCCCCAATTTGGCTTTGGTGGATATGGAGGATTCGGGGGACAGCAGCAGCAAGAAGAGCAATACGGTGGAGGCTTTTCCGGCTTTGGAGGAGAGTTTGGACAGCAGCAACAGCAACAAGACGGCTTCGGAGGCTTTGGAGGTCAAGAGCAACAACAGCAAAAAGCCGGTTTCGGAGGCTTTGGAGGGGGCTTCGGTCAGGAGCAACAGCAACAGGGCTTTGGTGGATACTTTTGATAATTTCCATGTCATTAATTTGTACCATATAGTCATGTGGGAGTATAGTATCTTGATTAACAAATAAAAAATTTTAAATGAAAACATATCAATCTTTTAAAGCCCTGTTGGCCGTTAAAATTCCTCTTAATTTTTGATAGAATTAATGCGTATTTCTGCTCTGAGCCAGTTAATAATTTAGTGCGATACATTAGGCGACAATAAGGCGACATTTTGGGTGTCAGCATTTGACACTAAAACTAATTTAATGGAAAATATCCGAGGAGAAGACTTGAAATTTTCCCTTATCGCGACACGCAACTGTCGCAAATCCGCCGCGGGCTGACAACAACTAAGTATAGAATCGCACCCGGCTCATGTGGTTCATATTTTAGCCGACATATCTATTTATATGCAAATGCCACACCTCCCGGAATGTCGAGGCAGCCCCACTGTCACCTGGACTACTCGTTCTCGAATGCGTGCCAAAGTCAAAGCCGAAGAATTTTCCTTTGTTGTTTCGGCATTCCTGCAATAATAAATCACGGCACCTATGCCATCGCCGGAAGGGAGTCGGCGAGGAAAAACTAATAAATCCAAGGCCAATTAATTGACTTAACTGCTCCTGGCAAAGGCACATACCAAAGATGAGAGGCAAAGGCCCAGGCGAACGCAAGGGCATAAACATAGCCAAAGTTAGGCCCACGGCAAAGGCTCCAAAGGGTCGCAATTCATGGCCGCAACATCAACTCGAACCCACACATAATAAATCATAACATTTTACAGATAATAGAAAACCTCACACATGTCCAATGAATTGCCTCCCTTAGCTACCAAAAGATATCGGTTTGTTGGCCCGCTAGCTAGAAATTTTAATAAGCCGCAAACCCTCCACTACGAGCAGTAGAGGGAATAAAAATGGTTTCGCATAATTTATGCCGCCTAGGAGGAAACTAATCATGCCATCGCAGACATGAGCACTCTTAAGCTTAAAAGAGCAGGACCAGGTTTTCCAAAAAACCAACAGGCTGGCATTTTTCTATCAAATCTGTCAATATTCAATTTTTGGTTTTTTGGGGAAAAATTTAGTTTGTAGTAGGCTGTGAGGTCGAATTCCTGCCTATATAAGGCGGAATTTGTATAGAAAGCATCAGTATAATTTTCAAACGGCTAGAAGCAAGACGCAAAATTAAAAATATAGTCTCTGAATTATTTTTTGAAAAAAAAAATATTTAAATTACAGTGACAAGTTTTATATATATCAAAATAATAAAAATCAACGACTGGTGAGTATGAAAAATAAATTCCCCCAAAAAATATTCCTTTCTTTATAAATTAATAAATGAAATTCAGTAAAGCAGGGAAAAATATTTTCTTCTAAAAAAAAATCGGTATAAATCTAAATTTAATTTAAAATTTCAATCGTAGTACGGATCGCGGTAGTTTACATATCTCGTAGTTTACATATCATAGTTTACACAGTTTAAGGGGAGGGTAAGGTATTCAATTTTTTTTTTTTATTTTTTTTTTATTTTTTAAATTGAATGCATAATATTTGAAGAATATTGTGTCAAAATTTCAAGTCAATTAAAGCAAAATTTATTAGTTATTAGTTATTGACGAAGTTGCTTATTTTTTTTGTTCATAGTTTTGATTTTGCAATGACAAATTAACCGATTTTTTCCCAAAAAATTGAGTTTTTCACTTCAAAGTCTTCGAAAAAATTAAAAAATTGCAATTTTCAAAAAACCTTTACAGCGTTACCCGGGGCGAACTATTATCTAACGAATGAATTTTCATTTTTTGATTACAAATGATCCAGCACCGAGTTATGAGGGGCACCGCAATTCAACTTTTTTTTGGCGACACGTCCGGACAATTGCTACCATTGCCATATTTTTAAATATTTTTTTGTAAAAATTTTATTAAACATTCTTCTAATGTCATACTTTAATGTACCGATGGTTGAATAAATAAATTTTAACTGTGTCGTCAGGGAAAATATCACAAAACCATGGCTTTTTTTGCATGATTTGACCTAACCCTCCCCTTAAAAGCCAATGAACGGTTCCCCCAAAAAATTATCCTTTCTTTGGGATTTGATCGGTCAAAATTTATATACAGTACACTTTGAAACGTTGAGAAAGCAGTTCCTAAATTAATAGTGAAAAAAAATTGTTTATCGAGTGAAATTTTATTAATAAATAGTAAAGAGTGAAAAGTCTAGGTGCCGGTGCCAGGCATTCACCCCAGCTTTTAACTGGGAATAATTTTTGCATCTAAAAAAAAATAGGTATAAATCTAAATTTAATTTAAATTTTCAATCGTAGTTCGGATCGGTACAAATTTAAATTTTATTTAAATTTTCAATCGTTGTTCGTATCGGTATAAATCAAAATTTTATTTAAATTTTCAATCGTTATTCGGATCGGTATAAATTTAAATTTTTTATTTTCAATCGTAGTACGGATCGCGTGAGTTTACATATCTTGTGGGGTTAGCGAGTTGGCCAAAGCCAATGTACGGTTGCAAAGCATGTTGAGTGAAAGTGTTAGAAGCTTCCTTGGGCAACGCCCTTGGACCGGGCCGCGTGATTCTCTAGATGTCGGATGGTATTGCCCGCCTATCTAGCCTTAAACTAATGCTGAGGGCAGCCTGACGACAGGCGAGCACCACCTTACCACGCCTCCGCCTATTAATGGTGTCATTTACATGCTGCAGCCACATGCAGTTACCAGCGAAATGCGACGATAAATCATACCGCGATTTTTGTTTCCATCGGAGAAAAGTCGGTAGTTAATCGGTGCTCTTAGTTTTCTTTTGCCGTCAAAATCGTAAATAAATTATACGCCCTGATTGATCAACTTTTCCCCGATGACAACCATAAAGGGGATAGCCAGCGGGGACGCTGCACTGTCATTGTGGCCGAAAATGTCGAGGCAGCGGCTCATAAACATAAATCCAAGTGACGCTAATTGTTTGTTGCAATTACTGCTGCAGTTGTTGCCACCGTTCAGTTACGTGTGCAGCCAGCATCGAGGCGACAGGACCTGAAAGGGTCGATGTGGCAGGAAGAGGGGTTGTGTTTGCATGCAAATTTTGTTGCATCTGCAGTTGCTGCTGATGCTTTCGCTGTTGATGCTTCTGCTGCTGCTGCTGCAACGGCAAACAATTACTCAAACCTTGTTGCAACTGCTGCTGATATTGTGGATGTTGTTGCTGTTGCTGCCGCTGCTGCTCGTTGTGCGTGTTAAATGGCAACTACTCTGGCGGCTAATGATAATCACTCGATGCCCTCTGCTCCTGTCGATTTCTACTTAGTTTAAGCTGCTTCGTGTTTGGCTTTTATCTTCATTTTAGCTCTTTGTCAGCAGCTTAATCAGAAAGGTTTTCAGAGCTTTGATTTAATTGAATGTTGCTTTAGCAACCTGAAAATTAGAAAATTTAAACTTTTCGAAAATGCAACAGTGCATAGCAAAGGGCTCTTAATTTGTATAAGCTCATTTTAATTTTTGTTTTTTTTTTAATTGAAGTAACTTGCCTCTGTAAACATGATGCAGCTGCAAAAGCATGTGTTTGGTCATCGAGAGTTTTCGATGCCGTAAATAAAAAATCAGAATTTAATTAATTTCAACGTTATAAACTTTATTCAGGCCGCATATGAAATTAGGATTTATGTACAATATTTCAAAACCAATTTAGGATGCGAGCGCAGTAAGAAGACGAACGAGTGTGGCGCCAACCTTGCAGAGTAGGCTGAGCGGATGCTCGCTAACTATAAACGCCGAAGTAGCAAAGCCGAGCGGCCGAAAGAGAGTCGGCTTGCGACCAGCAAAACATCAGTTACTAATTAATTGTTGTCTTTAAATTAGTTGCTTGCTGCTTGACCCGACATTCTCCCCCCAGTTGGGGCTTCTACTCCAACTTCATCCTTAAGGGGCAAAAGGCACAGCTTAGTCACTGCTCGCTTGGTAATTCCAGATGAGGTTTTTATCACCGCCACTCGAAAGATACCATACCGACCAGGGATTAACTCCATTATTCTCGCAAGCGGCCAATTCATCGGAGGAAAATGGTGCTTGGCGGTTTTAACAGCCGCTTCCCACAGACCACCGAAATGCGGAGATCGAGGAGGAATAAAATGCCATTCGATGGACTCCATAGAGCAAAACTCCAGCAGTGACCGTTGATGCTCTTCGCTTAGAAATAATCGGCGCAGCTCCTTTAGCTCGTTTTTGGCTCCAACAAAGTTGGTTGCGTTGTCAGACCAAATATGTTGAGGACTTCGGCGGGTGCATATAAAACGCTTCAAAGCCTGCAAAAAAGACATTGTGGACAGATCCTTTACAAGCTCCAGATGGACGGCTTTGGTAGCAAAACAAATGAACATGCTAATGTAACATTTTACTGGAGCCTTATTACGCACTTCCGGCTTATAATAAAACGGTCCACAAAAATCCACACCAGTGACTCCGAAGACCTGGGAGCCGCTAACTCTTTCCTCCGGGAGATCAGCCATAATGTGCTGCAACAGCCGAGGCTTAGTCCGGAAGCATCGGATGCATTTGTGTAATGCCTTCGTCACGGTTTTTCTCCCCCCAATTGGCCAATATTGGGACCGAATAATTGCCAACAGTGCGCGAGGTCCCGTATGTAAATTTCGCTCATGGAAGTCAACAGTCAAGCCCGCGTAACTGGATGGCTTCTTGGAAGTATAATTGGATGCTGTTTATCAAAATCCAACGACGAATTTTTTAGCCGACCGTCTACGCGCAACAGTCCAAATTTGTCCAAGAAGGGAGAGGATGAGGCAAGGGCACTGGATACCGCTATGTCTTTTCCATTTTGAAGAGCCTTTATTTCCTCCCAAAAATGCACACGTTGCACTAGCCGCAATAACAGCTGTGTTCCAGATTTTATATCGCTAGCCGTAACACCGTTGTGGTGAATTCGTTGAGAAAACTTGTATACGTAAGCGAATACCCTCTGCAGTGCTGGAAACGAATTAGCGTACTTAGAAACCGCTGTTATATCCACGTACGGAGACTGAATGAGCAGGACCCTTGCACGTAACTCCAGGGTTGATCTCTCAGATGGGACCGCGGTTGGCCACGTC